GCTACACATCACGGGGTAACACATTTGCATAATGCGCGCCTATGTTCTCCGTTGGCCTGCTGCGAACAACTTGACCCCGCCCACAAACACGTCATTCTACTGATGTCTGCTTCGGGATTCACAAAACGTTCAACGCGGAAAGATGGATCAGTATCCTGTTTATTTGGACCAGCTGCTCCACTGAATCACAACCTGTAAGTATGATAAATAATAGATTTTTATACTTTCTATAGAGCGTTCAAAATATAGAACTGTTGAAATAGGCGTATCGTTTCCGACACGCGCTGTACACCGTAGACCAATCACAACAGACTAGGCCATTTGACTAATCAGAGCAGAGCAGGCTCACGGAAAGGAGGGGTTTAGAGAGACTGAATCTTTGAACTGCTTCGAACGAATCGTTTGAGAATTGCTGGAAAATGAGGTGATATTAAATGCATATTTTGAGAAAACGAAAGCGTTTTTTGACCTTGCATGCATGTTAATCCTGTTGTAGGAGACTTCCAAAACAATATTAGGAACCGTAAAAATGGCATAATAGGGGCACTTTAATAAATTGCTGTTAAATTGTGTAAGTTTCATGATTTCAATTAATTAGACATGCTTTTTGATTAACATTTTTAATTTAACCATTAAAACAAAAACAGGAAAAAAAACAGAATCCAGAAAAATGTTGAAAAAAAATCCAATAGATTTCGTAGAGCCTTACTTTATATAAGGCTTGGCAAAAGCACACAGTCGGTTAGCTTTAGCATGTTGTCGCTAACAAGCCTGTCATTAGTTGCCAACTTTGGTTGTTTAGTTGTTGCAGACTATCGGTGCTTGAAACCTTTTCTTACAAATTTTACACTTAATGAAATACTTTCTACAAATGATGTTTTAAATGCTGTACTATATGTTTCAAATTCGGCACATTCATATGAACTGACTCGGGTCGTATCAGTGGGCTAGAAAAATTCTACCTAAGGGTGGTCTTCTCTCTGGGTGGCCACCATGCTGAGATCACATGACCAGCTGAATACTTCTCACTTCTCATGACTCTTGTGTGCCCTTATTTTTTAGTGAGTCAAAACATACAGCGTGACCAGTAGAGTCTGATTCCTTAACTAGTGACTCTTATGATCCGGTTCTTTTTAGTGGATCATAAACATACTGCATACGCTTAAATAACTGGCTCATAAGAGTGATCAGGAATCAGAATTTACCAAGCAAATTAAGCTTTTAAGAGTCTTTTCTTTTGATTGAGAATAAGACATGCCAAACAAATGACTCTTCTTTTCAGTAAATAGGCTACATGCAGTACTATCATGCAGTACCGAATACCACCACGTTCAAGGCCCATAAAGTTAAGGACATCGTTAAAATAGTTCATGTGACATGAGTGGTTCAACCTAAATGTTATGAAGCTACAAGAATACTTTTTGTGCACAAAGAAAACAAAAATAGCAACTTTATTCAACAATTTCTTCTCTTCCGTGTCAGTCATCACTGCAGATTCACAAGAGTACCACTGATGTCACATTCAATATTGAAATTATCCCAGTATTTCTGTTGTTCAAATGCTTCCTCAATTTCAAAAGAATCGTTAATGGAACCATTACAGAACAAGAATCTTTAAAAGGAATCTGAACCTGGATTGTTTGATTCCTTTTGATTCAACCTCCCACTATTATTTTAAAATCATTCAGTACAGAAAATACAGTTTCAAAGTTGGTAGATTATACTCCAGAGTTGCTGCATAGTCATTACTGGTTAATCATTTATCACACAGATCAGGCCAAACCAAAAAGAGGTAACTGAGCAAGGCCAACATGTCATAATTAATAAGACCCTAAAATCATCTTATTCATTGGCCTGCAGTCAGTTTTGTGAGTGTCCCTATACTGTGCATTTAAACTGTTCCCATTTATTCAATGCTGACTTGGAGAAAGAGGTCAGTAGTAGACGAGTGAATGTGGGAAATGAACGAAAGGTGCTCCACTTAGGGAAATGGAGAATCAGGGGTGATGCTGAGCCATAACACAAGTAATCAAATCACATTATTTCACTTTTTATCTTATTGATTGTTTAGGTCAGCTTGAATTGCCTCAAGAAAGCGGAGACTACTACCCTGTAATGGCTTCTTATTAATCACATCTAATTCATATAAAACATCATCGACAGTTTGCCTCCTCAGAGTACAGGATCTCTGCCAATCTGCTACTGCAGAGCAATGCATTAGGGCTTCGATGGTGACTTAGGGCCTATATCATCCAATTTCCTGTCAGGGAAGGATTGCTCAGCTCAACAGCTGTGTCTCCCATGAGCCACAATGGCATTAAGCCTCCTCTCTTCAGATTGCTCAATGCTCTGTGTAAGAGCTAATCGGCATGTTTTTCTACCCTCACAGACTGTCTCCACAGGCATGTGCTATGCCACTGGATAACCAAGAGGACAGCAGCCTCCCGAACATCATATGTCTGACAGATGGTATGTGTGCTATTTTCCCATCATATTTCTTAAATATGGGTTTTTACAGGCCTTGTCTGAAGATTGTTACCCTATGTCAAAGTGATAATTCATTTATGTAGTAGACCACTTTATTGTACAGTAGTCAACATTTGAAGTGGATCAAAACCTTTCATCAAAGTTGTCCTAAAACCTAAAACCAAAATTCGTTCTTGTCTTAGGACAACTTTGATGAACTTTTTTGATCCACTTCAAATGTTGACTACTGTATATAAGTATCCACTAGTAAATGCATGGTGTTATCATGCTTTTGTACATATAACATGGTAATACTGTGGTATTCTTTTTTTAAGTACCTTATTAGTGTTATTTGGGCATTGTACCACCAAATGAATATCTAGTTTTCGGTTTATTTATTGATTGATTTATTGATTGCTTGATTGATTAACTGACTGACTGATTGATTGATTGATTGATTGATTGATTTTTGTACATGTACAAAAATGGTAATGCATTATTTATTTATTTTTATTTTATTTTATTATTTTACATGCACCACGATAATACCATACTTTTGGAAATGTACCATGGTAACACTGGCAGTGCTTAATTTGTAAATGAAACATTGCCAGATCCAAATCAGCAGATAAAAAGGCGTTGTGACTAAATAATTAACAGATATAAAACAGATGTGAGGTGCGGCGATCCGAAAACAAGTTCACGGAAAGGAAACCGAGAACCGAGACGACAGAACGCGCATCCTGTTTGTTTGCTTAATTACAAAAACACAAATGTTCTTTTTATTGCAAGTGTGCAAAAATAAAAGTAAGCATTTACATTTAGCAGACGCTTTTATCCAAAGCGACTAACAAATGAGGACAATGGAAGCAATCAAAATGAACAAAAGAGCAATGATACGATGATGAAGTGCTCAGCTTAACACGTAGCAAGGTTTTTTGTTTTATTATATAGGCCTAATAAATAAAAAGAAAACAGATAGAATAGAAAAAGAACAGAGAAGCTAGTGTTCGTTTTTTAAATATTATTATTATTTTTTTGACACTTTGCGGGTCGTCTTACTCTTATCTGCAATGCCAAAAATGGAGTATTTAATGTGTCAGCTGTTTGACCGCGCCGGCGCCTCGCGCACACACCACATATTATAGCAATTCAAACTTGCCATCGCAGTCTGTTCATTATCAAAATAAAATACAGTCAGCCAAACATATCAATTTAAAGAGTATAACCGGTCTACAGCTGCTGTAATGGCAAGCGCATTTTTGCACATGTGAAGAGGATGATTTTTCCGTCGATATGCGAACGCGCATGAAGCCTAGTCTACATTATAAATAATAGTTTAACATTGAAATACATTGCGAATATGGAAACATTGGATGTGTGCCGAATGAGAGAGGTATGTGAGCCCAACGGTACTTTCCGTTTCTCTTTGTTTTGGTTTCTTTAGCTTTATATATCTATTTTTTCATTCTTGATCTGTTCTGCATACCGTTACATTTAAATTATTTGTCTTGGAGTGAGGGGGACTAGGCTATGATTATAGTGTTTATAATGTTTATACATTATAATATTTGACTTTATTTGGTATTATTTCTGGTATTATTACACTCTCTCCAAACGTTCCGCTGCTCACAAAATAGTGGAGAGAGTGGGTTAAGCAGTTGCACCAATCTACGAGTGCGATTTTGAACGTAAGAAAGCTGATCGGTCAATAATATGTTGAGGACCAATACATAATCAACAAATCGTGCTCCAAATACATCTACATAAACCCGCAATCGCTCTGTCTCGTATGCACGCACACACTGTCATGATCTAACGCACTTGTTAATGCCGGATCTTTAAAAACAAATACCGGAAATCAAAAATCCAAAATCTGACATTCTCCGGAACAGAATCCGGCTCAAATTAAGCACTGAACACTGGCCTTTATTTTAAATCCCTTTTCTAATTTATTTAAATATGTATGTAAATACTTACAAAAACATGCTACACATTTAAGGTTATATTACCAATACCATGGTACCATGTCCAAAAAACAACAAAACAAAACAAAAAATACTACAATACTGTTTATTTAAACATTTACACTTACATTGTAAATATTTATATTTATTTGATATATACACATGTATTTGATAATATTTCAAAGTACCATTTAAATGAATATGCATGATTTAAATGAATATTTTTGAATGAATATGGTATAATGCAGAATATCATTCACTTTTGTGTAGAGGTCAACCGATCAGTTTTGCTGATTAATCGGCACCCATAACTAATTGCTGGAGAAGTATTGCTAGATTATGTTACTGTTAGATTATGTAGAACATTAACTAATAAAATAAAATTAATTTTACAGTTGTATCTGTTAACATTAATTACTGCACAACGAACTAACATGAATTTATATATTTCACTTAAAAAGTACAGTATGTTTTCATGGTTCAGTCCTTTTTAATTTTGTAATAAAGTACAGCACTATTTTTCTATTATGTTGGCTTTCATTCAGTATCCAAAAACTACTGGTTGATTAATTGGTTATTGGTAAGTGTGGTCCAGCCTGGTTATTGGTCAAATCCACTATCGACCTCTAGTACTTTGGTATATATCAAAATGCCAAAGTATTTCCATTTTTTTATTAAGTACTAGGGATGTAACGATTAACCGCGAGCCGGTTGAAAATCGATTCAAATATGTGACGATTCAAATCGGTTGAGATGCTAAACAAATCGCGATTCATTTAGGGGTAGGAGTTTATATGAATGTATGTCTGAGGGGAACTTACTGTCTTTGATTAGCTCTACTATGTTTGGCTCTGTTCTGTGAGCTAATACGAAGTTGTGTTACATGCAATCAGTGTTTTTGCAGTGCAGTGTGGGATGGCCCTCGTCGTGACCCTGCTTCAGTCCCTCATCCTGGGTGTTCTGGGGGTCCACAGCAGTTACCCTCGCTTCTCCTCCAATGACTCGGTCTTCCAGCACCTGGCATTGCACCCTGACCCCAGCATAGGAACGGTCTACGTGGGGGCCCGGGACCATCTGTTCCAGCTCGCTGGCCTTGATGGCCTCCGTCTTGAAGTGGATGAGAGAACCGGCCCCGTGAGAGACAGCAAGGACTGTCTGCCTCCAGTTACCCTGGAGAACTGCCCTCAGGCTGGGCTCGTTAACAATCACAACAAGCTTCTGTTAGTGGATCCATATTCCCTTCTGCTCATCACCTGTGGCAGTGTACACCAGGGCACCTGCCAGAAACGCAGCCTAGCCAATGTGAACGAAGTCCTCTTCTCTGCCGAGAGACCTGTTGATACACAATATGTGGCGGCTAACGACCCTACGGCGTCAACAGTTGGGCTCGTGGTGCGACCGCAAGACAAAGATCCTGTCCTTTATGTGGGACGAGGCTACACCAGCAGTCACCCGCCAGTCTCCACTCGCCAACTTTCGACAGAGCCGGTATTCTCCTATGAGGAAACCGCTAAGCTCGCTGTAGCCGGGCGCCTCTCAGAGTACGATCACAATTTTGTCGCAACCTTTGCGCGACACAATCACGTCTACTTTTTGTTCTATAGACGCGACCTGAAAGCTACATCGAGGGAATATCGTACGTACGTGGCACGGGTGTGTTTGGACGATCAAGCGTATTACTCCTACGTTGAGGTACCGCTAATGTGTCACTCGGGCTCAACAGGAAGGAACTACAATTTCCTCCAGGGGGCGCAGGTGGGCGGTGAGGAATCTGGAGGCTCGCAGGTTTTGATGGGAGTCTTTTCTACGGCGGTTAGTGCTGCTAATGGACCCGGTGAGGAATCTGCATTGTGTGTGTACTCTCTGGATGAAGTGGACCGCGGTATTGATGCTACACGAGATCTGTGCTACACGCAATACGGAGTGAAAGATGGCTACAAGGTGGCATACATTGAGTATGACGTTAAATCCAACTGTGCCAACCTGCCTACGGTGAGTAAATGCATAGAGAGTTTTAAATATTCTTTTAAAGTTCACCCAAAAATGAAAATTCTGTCATTAATTACTCACTCTCATGTCGTTCCAAACCTGTTAGACCTTCATTTATCTTCAGAACACAATTTAAGATATTTTTGGTGAAATCTGAGAGCTTTCTGACCCTGCATAGACAGCAATGAAACTACCACGTTCAAGGCCCAGAAACATAGTAAGGACATTGTTAAAATAGTTCATGTGACATCAGTTGTTCAACCTTAATTTTATGAAGCTACTAGAATACTTTTTGTGCAGAAGTCATCAGAAAACTTCATGACTTTATTCAACAATTTCTTCTCTTGCATGTCAGTCTCTGCTGCACATTCATGAGAGTACAACGACACATGCGTGTGATGATGCTGACACAGGAACCGGCGTTCTGACGTAGAACCCGGATGTGCTGCGCCTTGTTTACAAGCAGAGGAATGCACACGTATGCGTCATGATACTCTCATGAACACGCGTTGAAGACTGACATGCAAGAGAAGAAATTGTTGAATAAAGTCTTATTTTTGGTTTCTTTGCACACAAAAAGTATTCTCATAGCTTTATAAAATTACGGTTGAACCACTGATGCCACATGGACTATTTTAACAATGTCTTTACCACCTTTCTGGGCCTTGAACATGTCAGTTGCATTGCTGTCTATGCAGGGTCAGAAAGCTCTCAGATTTCATCAAAAACATCTTAATTTGTGTTCTGAAGATGAACGAAGGTCTTATGGGTTTGAAACGACAAGAGGGTGAGCAATTAATGACAGAATTTTCATTTTTGGGTGAACTATCCCTTTAAGATGTATCCTTTAAGCTGTTCCACGTTAATGGAAATTTTTTCAGCATGAAATGAAAATTCACGCTATCTATTTTTTAAAATGCAAGTTATAGATCTTATTGTAAAAGATTCATACATGTACAGTATATGTTTCATTTAAAAATGTATCATTTAGTTTGCTTAAACACAGTCTCTGCAGGCTCACCTTCATCTGCATTCAATTTTGAGTTCACATTCCCAAATCTCAACATCCAGTCAACAGCCAACGCAAGGTTTTCCAGAAATATGATTTACCTGCATTTATATCACAATACAGATGAAAAGATGTGTCACTACTTCCATTTCATCACTACTTTAATATAAAATGATTTTTACATTTTAAAAATAAATCTTTTGATGTTTATTTTGTGAAACAGATTTCTATCAATTTCTAAAATATTACAGCTGTCCCACAGTTGTGTGGACATCATTTCAAACACTGAATAGTTTTGCCTGCTAACACTTTTTTTTTTTTTTTTTTTCCCCAAACATTAGTGTACTTGGTTGTACTTGGAGACAACAGGGTCATTTAAATGCTTAAGATGAAATATGACATGATGTATATGAAGAAAACAAGAAAAATCGATGTAAATATAATTGCACATTTTTAGGATACATAAAATGTTAGTTTGTATTAGAGGTGGGCAATATGATCAAAATCATATTTATTAATAGGAGTAATTTTATTTCATTATAACATTGGATATCACAGTACAGTTATGCATATTTTATTTTATCTTTGTTATTAAAAAAAATATCATACCACCCATCCCTAGTCATGAAATTAGTTTTAGCAAGACAAAGGAGTCAGGAATTTTATGTTATTCCAAAATGTAATTTCCAACACATATGACACTATATGTCATGTGAGACGTGGTAGAAATTACATACACAATTTTAAAAAATAAATAAATAAAAAAGACAAAAATGACAGAATTCTTCTGTGATGTGATGCTTTTAGACATTGTTAGTATAGACACTGTATACCTGTTATATGGTGTTAGGCAAAAATTGTAATCCAGTGTTAAAAGTGGCCTGAGCCTGGGCATAAATAAGCGGGTTAGAAAAACCTTGTAGAGGTTAAACTTTTTTTATTGATGCTAGAAATGTATTTGTTTTGTCACAATTGATAATGACACAGTCTTAAAGTGTTCATTTTACAGGAATATTTGATAGATGCTGTTCACTTGTACACTGTCTTCACATTGAAAGAAACATTATACTTATAAATTATCCATATAATTCGGTTTTGAGGTCAACCGTTTCCACATAATCATCATAGTAGTTTAACTTTGTTTGAAAAGCATGGGAAAATGGGGAAAGGATGCCCACAACGTAACTCTAGGGAACTGGACCACATCGTTTCCCTCCAACGGTGTATTTAAACTAACATTTATCCTAATTTAGATGCATTGCTCATCATTAATTCTCAGGCAAATTGCTTTAACTCATACGATTCTGCCTGCCATGATCTGAGTGAATTATGTTTTGAGCATTAGTCCTAACAAGATCTTAAGACAAATCAAAGAACTCAAGGATGTGGGCTCACAGGCAAACAACCTCCTCATGACCTCCATATATTTGCCTATTCAGCATCCAGAACCCGGCCTGCTCAGTCCTAAACAGGGTTATTCGGATCAATAAACCCCAAGCTCAAACTACTAATGATGTCTGCTAGAAAAGAGGGTAGGAAGGAGAAATATAAGTCTGAGGAGGGTTAGATGTCTAGAAGACTTATTGAAAGGAGAGAATGTCTGTTAAAGGGATAGTTTAGCTAAAAATGCACATTCTGTCATCATTTACTCATCAACATGGTGTATAAACCCATATGACTTTATTTCTTTTGTGGAATGCTAAAGGAGATATTTAGCATAATGTTCATGCTGCTCTTTTAAATAAAATGCAAGTGAATTAGGATGGATGCTCATTCTCCAGAAATTAAATATGAGATGTTATTTACCAGATTCTTAATGTAGCTTTCTTGTTATTGTGGCAACTTCATTTTTGCTTTTGCTAAAATAATTACTTACTGTAAATATGACTTAGGACATTAAATATATGGCACAAGTCAAAGTACGTTTAATGATCCTTTATGGTCCTTTTTTCTGTTTTGGAGTTTGACAGACCCTGGTCTCCATCCACTTTCATTGAATGGAAAAGAACAGCTTGAACATTCTTCAAAACATCTCTTTCTAGGTTCCACCGAAAAAAGAACGTCATATGGTTTTTTCAACATGAGGTTGAATAAGTGATGACAGACGTTTTGCGTGAACAATCCCTTTAAGTAGGATGTTACTGATCCACAGACAAACACCGCCACCCAAATACAGCATTCTTTGTGTTTCTTGCAAATCCTCAAACACTGAAACACATTTTCCTGATCCCCATATGTTCTTTAGTCTGGTACACAAACAGATCACTTCTGATAATGAGGGAGCATGGCATGACATGCTAGCTAGATTTTATCAAAGACCGCTGGAGCAGATTTGATAGCGTTAGTCTCAAAGAATGGAGCAGCCTTGCCATCCTAGTGTGAGACCAAGATAAGCTTCATCTAATCTGGCTTTCTCAACTATGAGGATTTGACAGCCTTGAGGCTATAGACTGAGAACAAAAAAAAACGGAGAGTTTATTATTACACAACATGAAACTGGATTAGGTCACAAAGGTTTTGCCAAAACCAAAGTCACGAAAACTTGTTTTTGTCTCTCGCAGAACACCCTGAATGCTTATCCCTGTGGCTCGGACCACACCCCGAGTCCAATGGCGAGCCGGGAGCCGGTTGAAGCTAAAGCCGTATTGGACAGCCCAGCCGCCCGTCTCACTGCTGTCGCTGTTAGTGTAAAGGAGGGACACACTATTGTTTTCTTGGGTGACTCCAAAGGCAATTTGCATAAGGTATGTGACATGAAAATTAGCCGTTTGACTGGTCATTTCTAAAACAATTTATTTATGAATTATAGTAAACCACTAGGGAAATATTTGTCCACTTAATATGGTAATATTATCTGTCTACTTAAGCAGATGGAAAGAGATTTCGCCTGCAGGGTGAATGTGTCATATCCCAACATAGTGCTGAAACAGCATACCTAAGGCTTTCTGTGTTTCCTCAGTCGGACCGCAGAGCAGACTTCACCACAAACCACGCTGTATGAAACATTGTATTTGCAGGGATAGTGATTGCTCAGAGACCACCGGAGACTCAGTTTGACACCGCTTGTAAATTCAAAGGGCTCGTGAGCTGAAATTGTCTACATCATGACCAGCCATTCTGTGAGTTCAAACATCATGTCATTAGTACACTACCAGTCAAAAATAATAATAATTTGTTTTTTTTGAAAGTCTCTTATGTTCACCAAGGCTATATTTATTAGATATTGTGAATTTAAATTGTAATAATAGTTCATAATATCAAATAATTGCAAAATTAATGCAACATATTAATAATTAATTATTAAATAATTAATAATTGAGCAGTAAATCAGCATATGAGAATGATTTCTGAAGGATCACGTGACACTGAAGACTGGAGTAATGATGCTGAAAATTCAGCTTTGCATCACAGGAATAAATTACATTTTAAAATACATTCGAATTTTAAAATACATTCAAATAATATTTCACAATATTGTTTTTTTGATTAAATAAATGCAGCCCTAGTGAGAATAACAGATGTCTTTCAAAAACATTGTAAAAATCTATCGTAATTATTCCAAACTTGTGACTGATAGTATAGGTCTTGTAGTTGACCAATAGCATGACATTTCTATTTTTATTTAATTATTTTTTATTTGTATATTTAATCTGCTGTTACTGGTAATCACATTTTATGTTATTTTTTATTTTTATTTTTCATTTTTTGCAATTGTTCTGATATATTGCACATATAAATGTACTTATAAAAACTGTAAAACTGTATTTGTAATAATTATAAGATAATTAAGTATGTTTAAAAATCATTTTAGTTTTGGCTGATTTTTGAAAATGTTGTTTAAATAAAAGCAAAAAATATAAATTTTAAACCAATTTGATGATGTTTACAGAGTGTAGTATTCTAAGTTAATTTTACTAAGGTGACCATACGTCCTCTTTTTCCTGGATATGTCCTGCTTAGGGTTGCAAAGGGGTGGAACATTTCCAGGAAATTTCCGGAAACTTTCCAAAAATCCCTGGAATATTCCAAAAATCCTGTAAAGTTTCCCAAATTTCTGGAATGTTTCCAAAATTTACTGGAAATTTTCCACCTTTTTGCAACCCTAGTCCTGCTCGAGATTTCTAAATTGCATAAAATGTCTTGGTTTTGGCTTTGTTTTCCTGTTGTTTTCAAACTTGTTAAAGGTAATGATGGAAAACTAGTTTGACCAATAGCGTGCAGGCTTTGTACATAATCGACCAATCATGGTATGCGGCAAAAGTGGGATCTACAGTGTACGGTCAAAGCAATGTAATGCTTACATATATAATGTAGAAGGACTGTAGAGAACATGTCAATAGGAAAACAAAGCCAAAACTTGGACATTTTAGGCAATTTGGAAAAAGAGGACTGTGATAACGACCCGAACAGTCACAAAAGAGGATCAACATCATAGGAGCGAAGTTGGAGTCCAAAAGGTTGTTTATTTCAAACAGATGTGCAAAATGTGAGACTAAATATGTTTAAGATCTTAAAACTGAGATTGCTGATAAAAGCAGTCTTAAAACTAGAACTGCTAAGTACTTCAAACAGCACTAACTCCCCTCCACAACACTGAGGCTGGAGTTTTCTATGCTTACACAGCATCACAATCTTGTAAACAAGCTCTTATTCCATCCACCTCCCTCTTACTACTACTAGTGACAGCCATCTTAAATACACATTTTTCCCGCTTTGATAATTGGAACAAATCGTGTTTTTTTATAAAATAATGTCTTGTCTCACAATATGATTTATACGTGAAAATAAGTAACAAGAGTTATGTAAATAAATACAAATAACAATAAAAAGAGGATGGATAAATCAAAGCATATTTGCACTAGGGATGGAAAGATTACCGGTTTGACGATAGGCTAAATCATGATAAAATTCCCCACGGTTAGTATTACAGTTTCATGTTTTAATTATCATTAAAACCGTATTCGATTACCGCGATTTGAACAACTCAGGATAAATAAATACTGTCCAGCATATAGGAAAGTTTTAAATAACGGTTTCAAAATAGTTTCGTTTTGTGTGAAAACATGACGGAAAAGCTGAGAAGTTTTAAAAGAGTGCTAAGGGAATTATACAAATGAATATACGAATGAATGAATTATATGAATGTACCTCTGAAGGTTCTGACTGTCGACTTCCACCGGTGCCACAGGGAGAGGGTAAGAAAGCCCACATGCTAATGATGTTTGACATGACATGTTTGAATCGTTTTCTGTGAAACGACTTAAAAACTGGCCTTAAGGAACTGGTTTACATGTGGAAGAGACTGTTTGCAATGTGTGTGTGTGTGTGTCCATTTTTGAGTGAGGAAATCTTTGTTTTCCCATGATTGTCAATGTGACATTTTCTCACAATTTAGAGTGACTACCATTTAAAATGTTTGGGGTCAATAATATTTTAAAATAATAATAATAGTGCTTTAATTCTTCAAAAAGTGACTGTAAAGACATTTATAATTTTACAAAAAATGTCTGTTTCAAATAAATACTGTTCTTTTGAAGTTTCTATTCATCAAATAAACATGAAAAACATGTACTGTATCAAGGTTTCACCAGAAATATGAAGCAGCACGACTGTTTTTAACATTGATAATAATAAGACATGTTTCTTGAGCAGCAAATCAGCATATTAGAATGATTTCTGAGGTATCATGTGACACTGAAGACTGGAGTAATGATGCTGGAAATTCAGCTTTGCATGACAGGAATAAATTACATTTTAAAATATATTGAAATAGAAAACAGTTTGTTTAAATTCTAATAATTTTTCACGATATTACAACTTTCATTACATTTTTAATCAAATAAATGCAGCCTTAATGAGTACAAGAGACTTATTTCAAAAACATCCGAAAAATGCTACCAAAACCAAACGTTTGAACAGTAGTTGATCACTCTGGAATTCTATAATAGTCATGTTCCGGTTTCACTTCCTCTGTTGGTTTTTCTGCATCATTACTCTTCCATGGAAGCATTCCACTGAAACGTTAATAGCTGAGAAGTTTTAAAAGAGTGCTAAGGGAATTATACAAATGAATATACGAATGAATGAATTATATGAATGTACCTCTGAAGGTTCTGACTGTCTTCAGAAAAGATTCGATGGCATTTTGTTTTTCATCTTCGCTCCATGTAATACCTAAAGTAATGTTCTTAATCGCAATGCTGCTTTGTTCACGGAGATTACGGGAAACAGCTCTAATTCTGCTGTTCCATAAGCGCCACCTAGTGTCAGAGCGTGGATTTACAGAGTTACATTTACATTCAGCCTGTGTTTTAGTGTTTATGCAAACAAAAAGTAATTCGTTTTTGAATACAAAACGTGGTGAAACGATTTATGAGGTCAGTACATTTTCAACATTTCCAGCACATTTTAACGACACTGTGATAATACTGATAACTGTGATAATTTAGGTCACTAAATTATCAATCGTGATAAGAAAAGTTCATACCGTTACATCTCTAATTCGCACAAACATTTCCATAAATTAGCTAAAATGAGCGCTTCACCTCAGGTTCGCACTTATTGCCACGCCCACTCAGCTAGATCAGGAAACACATAATAGCAATACACCAGAAACAGAACACAGTAACACAGTGATGGAAGACAACTTTAAGGATGTGTGGTCACTCTAGTTGAATAATTTGTATGATATTCAAATAACATACTGCAAAATTTCCACTCACAATCAGCACAAAAAATGTGGAAACTCTGGGCCATTGCTGTGTCCGTGTGTGATGTGTGAATAAGTGATTTCTCCTGCTGTGCCGTGTGGTCAGGTGGAGAAGAGGCCTGTGGCAGAGTGTGACAAGCACACTGATTGCACTTCCTGTCTGGCAGTGAAGGACCCATACTGCGGTTGGTGTGTTCTTGACGGCCGGTGAGTTTCATCTTGTAATTCCCGCTTTGGACTGCAATTTTCAGTTTATTTTAGGAGTATTTCTCTCTGTCTGTCAGTTATCTTACTCATCCTCCTGTCTGGTCTGTTTTTCTCCTCGCTCCTCCAGGTGTGGGATGCGTTCAGACTGTCGGCTGGGCTCGGTCGAAGGTCACTGGCTGTGGAGTTTTGATGAGCAGCAGCAGTGCTTGAGAGTGGAGTCACTGAGCCAATATAACGCCAGCCTTGGAGAACAGAAACAGGTATAAAGTCATTCAGTCAGAAATTGTGATAAAGTGGGAAATTTAGAGCACCATCAAAATGCAGTCCTCCTTCAACCATAAAGCCTAAAAGTAAACCCTGCAATATTTCAGTTAATATCTTTCATTCACTAAGATGTAAGATTTGTTATGTTTTTTTAAAGAAGTCTCTTATGCACATCAAGGTTAAAAATACAGTAAAAACAGTAATATTACAGTATGTAATGCTAATGCAGTTTAAAATAACTGCTTTCTTTTGTAATGTATGTTGAAATGTAATTTATTTCTGTGACCAAAGCTGAATTTTCAGCGTCATTACTACAGTCTTCGGTGTCACATGATCCTTCAGAAATCATTCTAATATGCGGAGTTGCTACTCAGCAAACGTGTATTAGTATTATCAATGTTGAAAACAGTTGTCCTGCTTAATATTTTTGTTGGAAACTGATGCTTTTTTTCAGGATTATTTAATGAATAGAAAGTTCAAAAGAACAGCATTTATTTGAAAAGCAATGTTTTGTAATATTATACATTTCTGTACTGTCACTTTTAATCAAATTACTGCATCGTTGTCTCAGTTAGCATATGGTTAGCGAGCTACAGTAATTAGCCTCTAAGCTAGCAGACTCTGCCACTGCACTCCCTAATGAGATAATTCACACAGTATCTTGCCTCATTTATAATGCTTAAAAGCTTTTTCCCCAATCATTGTAATTTTTATTTAACTTTTCCGTAAGGGATGCTTTTCTAATTAATTAATCAAAGCTATAAAGCTTATTGAAACAAAAAATATGTTTTGAGTTACTGGACAATGATTGCGAGATTATAACCATGGTTAATATGTTTCTTTTGTGTGTATGTGTGTGTGTGATTAGATTGCTGTGAATGTCCCGGGTTTGCCCAGTCTGTCAGAGGGTGACATGTACTCGTGTTTCTTTGAAGACACTGAAACAGCTGCTTCGGTCCAGGGCACCACAGTCACCTGTGCCACTCCTGAGGCCCACAGACTTCCACCGGTGCCACAGGGAGAGGGTAAGAAAGCCCACATGCTAATGATGTTTGACATGACATGTTTGAATCGTTTTCTGTGAAACGACTTAAAAACTGGCCTTAAGGAACTGGTTTACATGTGGAAGAGACTGTTTGCAATGTGTGTGTGTGTGTGTCCATTTTTGAGTGAGGAAATCTTTGTTTTCCCATGATTGTCAATGTGACATTTTCTCACAATTTAGAGTGACTACCATTTAAAATGTTTGGGGTCAATAATATTTTAAAATAATAATAATAGTGCTTTAATTCTTCAAAAAGTGACTGTAAAGACATTTATAATTTTACAAAAAATGTCTGTTTCAAATAAATACTGTTCTTTTGAAGTTTCTATTCATCAAATAAACATGAAAAACATGTACTGTATCAAGGTTTCACCAGAAATATGAAGCAGCACGACTGTTTTTAACATTGATAATAATAAGACATGTTTCTTGAGCAGCAAATCAGCATATTAGAATGATTTCTGAGGTATCATGTGACACTGAAGACTGGAGTAATGATGCTGGAAATTCAGCTTTGCATGACAGGAATAAATTACATTTTAAAATATATTGAAATAGAAAACAGTTTGTTTAAATTCTAATAATTTTTCACGATATTACAACTTTCATTACATTTTTAATCAAATAAATGCAGCCTTAATGAGTACAAGAGACTTATTTCAAAAACATCCGAAAAATGCTACCAAAACCAAACGTTTGAACAGTAGTTGATCACTCTGGAATTCTATAATAGTCATGTTCCGGTTTCACTTCCTCTGTTGGTTTTTCTGCATCATTACTCTTCCATGGAAGCATTCCACTGAAACGTTAATGATATTACATGAATGACGAAAAAAGCTGTGGATGGTGCATTTAACTTCATCTTATTATTTTTTTTAAGGTTATGTGTGACCTGATATTCCAGTGCCATAATATCCGTTTAACCATTTGACCCAGACTCCTCTCATGTTTGTCCTCTATAACAGATTGTGTGTCCGTCACGCTGTCCCTGCACTTTCGGACGGTCACCATAGCTCTCGCAGACTTCACCTTCTATGACTGCTCTGTGGTGCAGCAGCTCTCTGGCACCAGGCCGTAAGTCACACGGACTCTCCTGCATTTTAATGCCACATGAATAAAGCAATCACAAAAATACAGCACAATGTTAACTAATGTTAACAATATTGTAAAGTGGAAAAGTGTTAACCACTTTTAGCGTCATGCCATCATCATCCAAGAGCAATATTAAAACATCCATTGGTGAGCGGCTGTCATGCATTGAAGAATGTCCCAGAGGCGTGAGAGGGGCAGGGCAGCTGTCTCGCTCTCTGGACCTCACTAACACATCCCTGATGATTTAACAGCTGTTTCCCACATTCCACCATTCCTCCGCCCCGACCATCCTCCCTTACCCATACACCCCTGCAGACAGCCGCTGATGGGGCGGCTCTCCCTGATGCTGTTTTGATTTGCGATGTGGGAAAGCTGTGAACTCAGCTCTGTGTTGTTTGATGAGTTTAAGGGAGTCATGTGTAATTCTAGAGCTCAGCTATTTTGGATGCTGGGCTGCTTTGCTTTCTTCATCTAAATGCTCAGAGGTAGTCACTTCTAAACTTTTGGTCCATTATGTTCTGTCTCGCTCTGTTTTTAGGTGTAGGGGCTGTGTGAACAGCCGCTGGAAATGTAACTGGTGCATCCACCAGCATGTGTGCACTCACCGGTCCATGTGTGACCGTGGTGCCATCATCTACAATCAGCATGTAAGTTTTTGTTGATATGTGAGGTCATATCTGTGAGTTTGACATGCTGTGCCATTATAGTGGAGCCCAAAAGTATGAGACCAACAGTGAAAGTGCATGTGTATATTTTAAAACAATAGTTTTTATATATATATTAGTGCTGTCAAACGATTAATCGCGATTAATCGCATCCAAAATAAACGTTTTTGTTTACATAATATATGTGTGTATACTGTGTATATTTATTATGTATATATAAATACACACACATGCATGTATATATTTAAGAAAAATGTTGTTTATATATTTTATGTTTTTATTTTATTTTATATATTTGTATTTATTTTTCCTAAAACATTTATTTCTATTAATTAAAATTTTAAATCACAGTTTTTAGTATGGTCTCAGACTTTTAGACCCCACTGTATGTGTTTTTGGCTCCTTTTTGCTTTGAATAACCGTTTTTGGTTCATATAAACTGCCATTTAAAAGTTTGGAGTTTGTAAGACTTTTTAAAATAATTACTTTTTATAATTAATATAAATAAAATGAATAGAAAGTTCAAAAGAACAGCATTTATTTGAAAAGCAATGTTTTGTAAAATTATACATTTCTGTACTGTCACTTTTAATCAAATTACTGCATCGTTGTCTCAGTTAGCATATGGTTAGCGAGCTACAGTAATTAGCCTCTAAGCTAGCAGACTCTGCCACTGCACTCCCTAATGAGATAATTCACACAGTATCTTGCCTCATTTATAATGCTTAAAAGCTTTTTCCCCAATCATTGTAATTTTTATTTAACTTTTCCGTAAGGGATGCTTTTCTAATTAATTAATCAAGAATGCATTGTTACAAAAGATTTATATTAAATAAAAGCTGTTCTTTTGAACTTTGTATTCATCAGAGAATCTTGGGGGAAAAGTATGTTTCAGCAAAAATATTAAGCAAAACCATTGTTTTTAACATTGATTATTATAAGAAATGTTTCCAAATCAGCATATCAGAATGATTTCTGAAGTATCATGTGACACTGAAGACTGGAGTAATGATGCTGAAAATTTAGCTTTGCATCACAGGAATAAATTAGATTTTAAAATATAGTCAAATAGAAAACTATCACTTTAAATTATAATGTTTCTCAGTGTTACTGTTTTTACTGTATTTTTGAATTAAATAAATGCAGCTTTGTGATCAAAACTTCTTTCAAAAACATAAAATCTTACCAACCCCAGACTTTTAAATGGCAGTACACATAACGCTTGCTTGTGTGTTTTATGATTTATAATGTGTTTAATTCAGCACCATTGTTTATGGATTTGAGTTGATATTAATTTATTTCAGTTGCTTTTTATTTCTTTTTTTCCCCTCATTCTTTCTGTTGTGTCCTATGTTCGTCTAAAGTTTTCGCTCCCCACGTCTGCTCCTCAAACAATAAAAGACTTTGACGCGCACACGTACACCACCTCCACACCCACGACAACAACAACCCTCTCGACCACTGAGGTTGCCATAACGACCGAAGCCTTTGTTATGAATACCCCTTCAATGACCCCGCCCACTACTCCAGAGCCCACCACCACACCTCTGGAAACCACAACCCCACTCGACCCTCCAGCCACCACCCCCAACCACGCTACAACCTCCTCTACGCACCCATCCAGCGCCACTACAGAGTCAACCGATACCATCACAGAAGCCACCACTCTCTCCAAAAATGCCTCTTGGGAGGAGGAGAGCATCCAGGTAGGTTTGCTGTCAACGCCGACCCCGCAATCATACGAAGAACTGGTGGGACCTTCGTCGCGTGAAGAGGCCGCTGAAGTGACGCTGCCCGCGTTGAGAGCTGGGGAAGTGGTGACGATGGGGCCGTTGATTGAAGCGCTGCCCTCATCCTCCCCTGAAGTGGTTACCCTCTCGCAGGCGGAGATGGATATAGATGCTCTTATAGACACGAGCGTCCCTGTGTCGTCAGCCAGCGCCCCCTCTGGCGACGGTGAGGCAGGGCCTGATCCATCCGATTTCCCCCTCGCTCCAGACACAGACTACCAGTCTGATCCGGCTGACCTTTTCCTCCTGGTGAGTGTGGTTCCTCGGGCCAACTCTGCTCGCTGCAGATGCTGGAGGTTGAACGTACCTAAAGTGTAAATTACATGCGTGAATGATAGGATATATAATTAAATGGATGAAAGCAGTTCTGCTCTATTACTAATTCAACCGTAATCATATATTAAAGTCATGTAATGTCGCAACATTAAAGCAATGTTCTGGGTTCATGATGTTGATTTGCACAGAAATTCATTTGACTCATCCATCATCAGTTTGTAAAAACAAGCCAAAAACTGGGTTACAGTAAACGTACCTAAAGCGTAAATTACATGCGTGAATGATAGGATATATAATTAAATGGATGAAAGCAGTTCTGCTCTATTACTAATTCAACCATAATTATATATTAAAGTCATGTAATGTCGCAACATTAAAGCAATGTTCTGGGTTCATGAGATGGATATAGATGCTCTTATAGACACGAGCGTCCCTGTGTCGTCAGCCAGCGCCCCCTCTGGCGACGGTGAGGCAGGGCCTGATCCATCCGATTTCCCCCTCGCTCCAGACACAGACTACCAGTCTGATCCGGCTGACCTTTTCCTCCTGGTGAGTGTGGTTCCTCGGGCCAACTCTGCTCGCTGCAGATGCTGGAGGTTGAACGTACCTAAAGCGTAAATTACATGCGTGAATGATAGGATATATAATTAAATGGATGAAAGCAGTTCTGCTCTATTACTAATTCAACCGTAATCATATATTAAAGTCATGTAATGTCGCAACATTAAAGCAATGTTCTGGGTTCATGATGTTGATTTGCACAGAAATTCATTTGACTCATCCATCATCAGTTTGTAAAAACAAGCCAAAAACTGGGTTACAGTAACACACTCACAGTTTAAACGGATAGTTCACCCCCCAAAAAAGAAAATGCTGTAATTTACTTAAACCTCATTACAAACTAGTGTTGTCAAAAGTACTGACTTCGGTACCAGTCAGTACTGAAAATCTAAAAATGTGACAATACCAGCATTTCCTGCGAGCATTTTGAGCGCTGTTGAGTGGATTCTTAAACACCTTTGATTGGCCATTTTGTTCAGACGCTCAACAGATATGGCTGTGATTGGCTACAAATGATCATGGCGCTCTTCACATACACACGGGAGCGTTTGAAAGCCGCGTCTATCAGCGGATCCATCTATGAGCAGATATATTAGCGATCCGCTGATAGACGTGGCTTTCAAAAACTCAAATGCTGGTATTGTTACATTTCTAAATTTTCAGTACCGACTGGTACCAAAGTTGGTACTTTTGACAACACTATTACAAACCTGTTTGATGACTTCTTCGGTTGAATTAAAAAAGTTTTTTGTTCAAACAATGAAAGTCAGTGTGGTCCAAATATGTTATTTTGGACCCCTTTGACTTTGATTGTTAGGATAAAACGTGTGTGTGTATATATGTATGTATATATATATATAATTTTTTTTTGTTTTTGTTTTTTTCACAAAAAGTCATACTGGTTTGCAACGACATGAGGGTGAGTAAATTATTTGGGTGTACTATCCGTTTAACACAGGTTCCAGCAGTAAAAATCCCTTTTTTTATAGGGCAATTTTTAACAGAAATGAAAAAACATTGAAAACAGACCTAGTGTGAGCTACACGGTTTTTAACCAATGGTCTATGCTTTTGTTGAAGCCATCAGCCCTCGTTATTTTTTAAATCGTGTTTAGCAGCAGAATTTCCCGTAAAAAAAAAAACTACATTACCCATTATTCTTCAACAATTCTCCACCAATCAGGGAATTGAAGCAAGCAAATTTAACCAAAAGAGCACTTCAGTGCCCGCACACTCCCATGAAGCACCACAAATCACGTAATAGAGTCAGTCTCCCTATGCTCTCAAACTAGTTCAATATTTGTAATAATTGTAAAATATACTATTTCTATGTGTATGAATGAATTTACAGGCCTATAAATGTATCCATTCATCCATCATTTTCATGGCGTCATTCACAGTGCTTATTGGGATTGTAGTTCTTTACCTCATTAAACCTCATTTTGTCTTTTTGTTCAATTTTAAGATACTTTTTTGCTTCAAATCAAAGTTTATAATGTTGTGATTCACCTCGTAGTTGGTTGATTCGTTTCATGACTTATAACTCTTTAACAAAGACATTTTTAAAATCTCTATGGGAAAAAAATAATAGAAAAGATACTTCCAGAACCAGCACTGCTGAGAAGGTGGGAGGAACACTGTTGCATTGTATTGAACCCAGAACATTTCTTTAATCATTTAATTTGCTTCTGGTGGCTGTTCCCTATGTGTCTTTTTTTGTCCATTTTGTTTTTCATTAAATCTCTGTCTAACACACTCACTTTTGTTGTGCTGTCATTCTGCTTATTATATGTATTATACATAAAATAGCAGAAGCTGAGAGATACTCCATGTCTGCTCCTTTCAGAGCAGTGGTGTGTGTAATGAAGTGTGTTGTCCATCTGTGTGTGTGATTAGGAAGAGGAGAGTTTACTCGTGAGCAGAGGTTCTCACGCCTGTCCGTGTGTGGAGGACATCCAGGGCAGCTCCCTCCTACCTGTCAATGTCGAGAGGAAGATAACTCTGCTGGGACGCAACATACACCTTTATCAGGTAACGCAGCGTCTTGAGGCTTGTTGGGGCTTGATAGTCTGGCACAGTCAGACTGTGACTATGAGCATAATGTCTGGTAATGCTCACTTAGACAGCAAGGGTCTGTCTGACTGACATGCACAACAACCAGCTGCGGTTTCTTTATGGGACATTTAGGGGGGAGTAAATCTGAAACCAATCATCTCTCATTAATTGACTGATGTGCAACGATGTGGAAACTGCACAGCATTCTCAGAGAAAAATTCTAAAGTCTTGAGGATTATAAAAAATATAAACTGAATAGGTTTGAATGTTTATGTGAATAGTTCTTCTCAGAAGTGCTCATTTTGGCAGTTTTAAACATTTTAAAATCAAATACAGTAAAAAATGTATTTTGTGAAATATTATTACAGTTTAAAAAGACTTTTTTCTATTTGAATATATTTAATAAAATGTAATTTATTACTGTGATGTAAAGCTAAATGTTCAGCATCATTACTCCAGTCTTCAGTGTCACATGATCCTTCAGAAATCAGTATAATATGCTGATGTGTTGCTCAAAAAATATTTTTATTATTATCAATGTTGAAAATAATTTTGATGCTTATTTTTTTTGTGGAAACTGTGATACATTTTTTTTAGGAATCTTTGATGAATAGAAAGTTCAGAAGAATAGCATTAATTGGGTGTATTATGTTATCTGATTTATTTAGGAAATACTTAAAAAAAATATGTAGGCCGTAAAAAGAATATATCTGTGTGTGTTTTAAGGACAAAGATCTGGATTACCAGTGTGTGTTGGTGATTGAGGGCCGATCGGTGGTGGTGGATGCTTTTGTGGAAGTGGACGACGCTCAGCCATCTCTGTTCTTCATTACCTGCCAGCTACACCAGGTCTGCTAGCAAAAAAAAAAAAGAATTCGGCACATTGTATTAATTTGAAGGAATTTTCCATATTGATTTGTTTTACAGGTATTTTGCCTGTATTTTGATTTTTTAGCACTTAATTGCGTTGTGTTTCAGTGTTAATGGAAATGCCAGTAAAAATCACTGCACAATGTTACCAGAAAATTACCAGTGCTTTTTTTTTTCTTACAATGTATATAAAAAAAGCATCATTGACATCCTGTGACAGTTTTATTATTGTTTTAAATTACTATATATATACAATTTTAATTGTATTTAATATATATATAATTTTATGCTTATATTGTTTTTATTAATTATTATTTTTTTGCTTATTTTAGTACATCAAGTTATAATAAATGAAAACGTGAAATGTTGCCTTAGCAACTAGCTGAAATAAAATAAGTTTACTTTTATTATATTTAACTATAATGTAATTTAACAGTCATTTTGTTGCTAGCACAACACTATGTGACGGTATTATATATCATCCATAAAAACTGCTTGTGGCCTACATATAAATAACTGTTACACTCTGAAAGTGCCTGTAATGCTTTGTTATAGTATTTAAAATGATTGTGATTGCATTTCGGTTTCAAAGTACTCTTACTCGGCTGCCGTGGAGGAATACAGGAGCATGATCTCAGTCAGGAGGAGGGACTCTTTCCAGATGGATTACCCAGAAGACCTGCATGGTACGTTACCCGCTGTTTGCCGAGGCTTTGCACGTGCTGTACTCTGTTTGTGTCACGTGTGTTTTGTCTTGCAGTTCGGCTGTATAACTGCTCCGTGGGCCGGGCCGACTGCAGTCGCTGTCACACGGCCGATCAGCAGTACGGGTGTGTGTGGTGTGAAGGGTCTCGCTCCAGCTGCGTCTACAGGAGCTCCTGCACCGAACACGTCCAGCAGACCTGTCCTGCTCCTCACATACACACGGTGAGGGACTCATCTGTTAACTTGTGCTTTTTGTGAGCCATTAATATTATACTTGGTGTTGTGAAAGTGGCAGTTCACCCAAAAATGAAAATTCTGTCATAAACTCCTTGACCTCATTCTGTATTCTGTATTAAAGAAGATCTTCGGTTGCTTATTTTTGTGTGCACTGTCCTTTTAAGAACTTGGAATAAACCTGCCAGGCTAAACTGCATTGTAAAAGGATTTTTCTTCACTGTCTGATACGAACATTATTGTCCTGGAAGGAGTGACCCTTGTCTTTTTAAGTGTAGGAATGCTGTGGTTTCCGTTGCTGGCCTTTCCTTACTGACCCGTGTGTTTGTACAATAGCATAACAGATCACATTATTACACCTGACATGATTAACTGAATCACTTCATAGATGTTTGCATGCAGGAACTCAAGCTTTTCACTGGAGAAAATGTGTGTAATATTGCTAGGGTGTTATGGTCGGTCGCCATGCCATTGCAATAAGGCTAAGGTGTTCTGGTTAGTTGCTAGGGTTCTCTGGGTGGTTGCTAGGTGGAAATTTAAATGAAATAAATAGTTTTATTGAAAGTAAATAATACTTTTATTTACCAAGGAGGCATTAAATTGATCAAAGGTAACAGTAATGACATTTATAATTTAACAAGATTTCTATTTCAAATAAATGCTGTTAAATTCCTTTAAACTTTCTGTTCATCAAAGCAATAAAGACAGGATAAAATGGGTGAGGAAGAAGGAATGAAATGCAAGGAATTTTACACTGAAAAAGCAACTTTTTATATTGCAAAAATTAATTTTCTTAAAACTAAAAAAAATGTGAAAGTTATTATTATAGATTTTAATATTTATTTTTAATTTTAAAAGGTGATTTCAAACTAGAAAAAAACATTTGCCATTAGATTAAAAAAAAGTCAATAATAATCATGTGTAAGTCTCATACAATTCAAATAATATAAATGTATATTGTTTTAAATGTAAAGGATGTTTAGATCATTTTTTTACTGGAAAACAAGACAAAATTATTATTTTTAATTAGTATTTTTCCGGAGCTTTAATAGGATGAGATCAACGGTATATAACACCACACGAATTAAAAGGAAATGATGGAAATACAGTGAGATTTGTGACTTTTTTCAGTAAAGATTTCGATTTCTGTTCTTTTAAACTTTCTGTTCATCAAAGAATCGTGAGAAAGACTGTCACGGTGACACTGAAGACTGGAGTAATGATGCTGAAAATTCTTTGAATTCTCTGAAAATGTTAAACTATATTCACATAGAAAACAGCGGTTTTAAATTGTAATACTATTTCACAAGGTTACTGTTTTCCTGCATTTTAATCAAATAAATGTAGCCTTGGTTTTGAACAATAGTTTAGTGTTTCACGACTCTATACAAATCTATGGGATTGTCATCACTGAGTAGCTTCATGACTGATTTTGTGTTTTCTTGCAGATTGAGCCTCTTTCTGGTCCAGTGGAGGGCGGCACAGTGCTCACAGTGTCTGGCTCTAATCTGGGTCAGAGAGCTGAAGACATCCAGCACTCGGTGACTGTAGCCGGAGTCCCCTGCACGGTCATCCCCGACAGATACGAGGTGTCCTCCAGGTAAATCAGACAGCACTCTGTCGGACTGTAAAGTATGTGAGTGAGGGCATGCTGGATATTACTGCCACTCGTTAATGACACTGTATTATTGGCTTCAGGCAATTCAGCTCCACAGTGTGATGAAGAGTATTGACCCAGTGCACTGATTAATGGGAGGTCTCTTTGTGTGCCTGTTAGTATTGTTTGTGAGACCACAGCGAGTGCAGGGGAGCAGAGCGGCCACATCTCGGTGCAGGTTAAAGGCGGAGGAATCGGGCAATCTGCCCAGCGCTTCCGTTACCAGGTAACCATTAATCCAACAGGCCACAAAAGGGATAAAAATGGTTTAGCCAGAATGAATAACATGCAAGGAATTCATTTTGTATTTATTAAAAGGCAGGGAGGTATTTGGCCATTTTAAAACAACTTTGTACACTGCAGAATGAATTTTCTTCAACAGTGTTTTTGTATTGTCATACTTCAAACTTTATTATTGTTATTTTTATTAAAATTGTGAACGGTATTAAGCTTTGTTTTCCGAGTATATATTTTAACGTTTATTTTTATTTTAAAATACATTTTTAAGAAAGGAAATATAGTGGGATTAATGCTATAAAAGTTATGAAAATATTTGTTAAAAATACGTGTCTTATACAGTTCAATAATATAAATGTATATTGTTTTTAAAAGGATTTTTAGTTTTTACTGGAAAATAAGAAATTTAAGAGGATGAGGAAATATAGTGAGATTTATGCTTCAAAAATTTTTTAAAAGTGAGTGAAAATGTAAAAAAATATATATATTAAATGTTTAAGTCTTAAACTATTCAATAAAGTAAGTGTATTTTATTGTAAAGGTTTTTAGATATTTTTTTTACTGGAAAACAAGACCAAAATATGATGTCTTTTTCAGGGCTTTAATACCACACAAATTAAAGGAAAAAATGGAATTGAAAAATGAAATATAGTGAGATTTAAAAGCAATTTGCTAATAGAGTGAATTTTTAAAAATGTTATTAAAAATATTTTTAAGAATGTGGAAATCTTATACAAGTTAATGAAGTAAATGTATCTTATTTGAATGATTTTTAGATATCTGTACTTAAAAACACAACCAAAATAGTATGCGTTATTCAGGGGCTTTAATACGATTTTTAATCATGTGTAGGAGTGTATAGATTAATAGGATAATAATACCACACAATGTAAAGGAAAAAAGGAAGGAACAAAAGATAATATAATGAGCTTTTATGGTTAAAACAAGATTTTTTTTAAAAATGGTAACACTACTTAAAGCCTTTATGTATAATGCATTCTAAAAGTAGTTTTAATGCATTAATTATGCCTTGTAATGCACCTTATAATGCATTGTACAGTCTTATACATAATTGTAACCACAGTTAATACATTATAACACTTATTAATTCATTGTTACACTATCCATTTTAAATTCGGTTATAATTGTTTACGACAAGATATAATGTATTATAATGCACATTATAAATAATTATAATGCATTATACCCTTTAATAACCCTTTATAATACATTATACGTAAAGGCTTTAAGTCAAATTAAAGGAAAAAATGGAATTGAAAAATGAAATATAGTGAGATTTAAAAGCAATTTGCTAATAGAGTGAATTTTTAAAAATGTTATTAAAAATATTTTTAAGAATGTGGAAATCTTATACAAGTTAATGAAGTAAATGTATCTTATTTGAATGATTTTTAGATATTTGTACTTAAAAACACAACCAAAATAGTATGCGTTATTCAGGGGCTTTAATAAGATTTTTAATCATGTGTAGGAGTGTATAGATTAATAGGATAATAATACCACACAATGTAAAGGAAAAAAGGAAGAACAAAAGATAATATAATGAGCTTTTATGGTTAAAACAAGATTTTTTTTAAAAATGGTAACACTACTTAAAGCCTTTATGTATAATGCATTCTAAAAGTAGTTTTAATGCATTAATTATGCCTTGTAATGCACCTTATAATGCATTGTAGGTGGAAATTTAAATGAAATAAATAGTTTTATTGAAAGTAAATAATACTTTTATTTACCAAGGAGGCATTAAATTGATCAAAGGTAACAGTAATGACATTTATAATTTAACAAGATTTCTATTTCAAATAAATGCTGTTAAATTCCTTTAAACTTTCTGTTCATCAAAGCAATAAAGACAGGATAAAATGGGTGAGGAAGAAGGAATGAAATGCAAGGAATTTTACACTGAAAAAGCAACTTTTTATATTGCAAAAATTAATTTTCTTAAAACTAAAAAAAATGTGAAAGTTATTATTATAGATTTTAATATTTATTTTTAATTTTAAAAGGTGATTTCAAACTAGAAAAAAACATTTGCCATTAGATTAAAAAAAAGTCAATAATAATCATGTGTAAGTCTCATACAATTCAAATAATATAAATGTATATTGTTTTAAATGTAAAGGATGTTTAGATCATTTTTTTACTGGAAAACAAGACAAAATTATTATTTTTAATTAGTATTTTTCCGGAGCTTTAATAGGATGAGATCAACGGTATATAACACCACACGAATTAAAAGGAAATGATGGAAATACAGTGAGATTTGTGACTTTTTTCAGTAAAGATTTCGATTTCTGTTCTTTTAAACTTTCTGTTCATCAAAGAATCGTGAGAAAGACTGTCACGGTGACACTGAAGACTGGAGTAATGATGCTGAAAATTCTTTGAATTCTCTGAAAATGTTAAACTATATTCACATAGAAAACAGCGGTTTTAAATTGTAATACTATTTCACAAGGTTACTGTTTTCCTGCATTTTAATCAAATAAATGTAGCCTTGGTTTTGAACAATAGTTTAGTGTTTCACGACTCTATACAAATCTATGGGATTGTCATCACTGAGTAGCTTCATGACTGATTTTGTGTTTTCTTGCAGATTGAGCCTCTTTCTGGTCCAGTGGAGGGCGGCACAGTGCTCACAGTGTCTGGCTCTAATCTGGGTCAGAGAGCTGAAGACATCCAGCACTCGGTGACTGTAGCCGGAGTCCCCTGCACGGTCATCCCCGACAGATACGAGGTGTCCTCCAGGTAAATCAGACAGCACTCTGTCGGACTGTAAAGTATGTGAGTGAGGGCATGCTGGATATTACTGCCACTCGTTAATGACACTGTATTATTGGCTTCAGGCAATTCAGCTCCACAGTGTGATGAAGAGTATTGACCCAGTGCACTGATTAATGGGAGGTCTCTTTGTGTGCCTGTTAGTATTGTTTGTGAGACCACAGCGAGTGCAGGGGAGCAGAGCGGCCACATCTCGGTGCAGGTTAAAGGCGGAGGAATCGGGCAATCTGCCCAGCGCTTCCGTTACCAGGTAACCATTAATCCAACAGGCCACAAAAGGGATAAAAATGGTTTAGCCAGAATGAATAACATGCAAGGAATTCATTTTGTATTTATTAAAAGGCAGGGAGGTATTTGGCCATTTTAAAACAACTTTGTACACTGCAGAATGAATTTTCTTCAACAGTGTTTTTGTATTGTCATACTTCAAACTTTATTATTGTTATTTTTATTAAAATTGTGAACGGTATTAAGCTTTGTTTTCCGAGTATATATTTTAACGTTTATTTTTATTTTAAAATACATTTTTAAGAAAGGAAATATAGTGGGATTAATGCTATAAAAGTTATGAAAATATTTGTTAAAAATACGTGTCTTATACAGTTCAATAATATAAATGTATATTGTTTTTAAAAGGATTTTTAGTTTTTACTGGAAAATAAGAAATTTAAGAGGATGAGGAAATATAGTGAGATTTATGCTTCAAAAATTTTTTAAAAGTGAGTGAAAATGTAAAAAAATATATATATTAAATGTTTAAGTCTTAAACTATTCAATAAAGTAAGTGTATTTTATTGTAAAGGTTTTTAGATATTTTTTTTACTGGAAAACAAGACCAAAATATGATGTCTTTTTCAGGGCTTTAATACCACACAAATTAAAGGAAAAAATGGAATTGAAAAATGAAATATAGTGAGATTTAAAAGCAATTTGCTAATAGAGTGAATTTTTAAAAATGTTATTACAAATATTTTTAAGAATGTGGAAATCTTATACAAGTTAATGAAGTAAATGTATCTTATTTGAATGATTTTTAGATATCTGTACTTAAAAACACAACCAAAATAGTATGCGTTATTCAGGGGCTTTAATAAGATTTTTAATCATGTGTAGGAGTGTATAGATTAATAGGATAATAATACCACACAATGTAAAGGAAAAAAGGAAGAACAAAAGATAATATAATGAGCTTTTATGGTTAAAACAAGATTTTTTTTAAAAATGGTAACACTACTTAAAGCCTTTATGTATAATGCATTCTAAAAGTAGTTTTAATGCATTAATTATGCCTTGTAATGCACCTTATAATGCATTGTACAGTCTTATACATAATTGTAACCACAGTTAATACATTATAACACTTATTAATTCATTGTTACACTATCCATTTTAAATTCGGTTATAATTGTTTACGACAAGATATAATGTATTATAATGCACATTATAAATAATTATAATGCATTATACCCTTTAATAACCCTTTATAATACATTATACGTAAAGGCTTTAAGTAAAGTATTAAAGTACAGTATTAAACATTTATTTTTTTAAATGTAAAAATTGTATACATTCAGTTACATAAATATATCTTATTTTACGGTTTTTAGATAGTTTTACTGTATTATTCAGGGCTCGAACAGGATGGGGTCATTGGTGTAACAGCACACATGTATAAGGCAGTGTTTTGTAACGTGTGTGTGTGTGTGTGTGTGTGTGTGTGTGTGTGTGCGCGTGTTCTGTTTTCTAAACTCAAGGACCCAGTGTTATTGGGAGTGTCTCCACTGAAAGGCCCAATGTCAGGAGGCACATCACTCACCATCACGGGACAGAACCTTCTGACGGGCCGTTCCAATGAGATCAGCATCCTGATTGGTGGAGTCCCATGTTACATGTAAGTGACTGTGTAGAGCAGCGTCCTCTACGGCCGTCCAGTCAGACAGAAGTCATCAGTAAATCTCATTATGATATCATCTCTACAACTCATATCATGACAGCTGATTATGTTATAAATAATTAATCATCCTTCTGTTAATGCTGGAAGTCTTTGTAGATCTAAAACAGTGAGCTGTGTCCTAAATATATCAATTCATGAATATAATATACTCCATAAATGACACAGGATTTTTTGTCTTTTATGACTGTTCACATTTGGTAACACTAAGTTAGATTGTTTAGAGTTTTAATACAGTCTGTGTGTTAACAGTTCTCCTGAGCAGTACAACAATGAAGGTGTTGAGTGTGTGACTGGAGGGAGTAACAGAACCGGAGAGAGCGGCGTTACAGTGCGCTTTGGTAGAGCTGAGCGCCATCTACAGGAAGTCGTCTATCAATACACCCCAGACCCCAACGTAACCCATGCTGCTCCCTCCAAAAGCTTCATCAGGTGAGGAGCATGACATGTAAAAGAACTTAAGCATAGTTGTATTTATTTTATTTTTGATTTTTATTAATTTTTTTATACAAAATTGCAGGAAGTATTAAGACTTGTTTGTTGAGAGAATATGTTAGTTTGTTTTTTTATTAATAAATTAAAGAAGGAAATTTAGTTAGATTTATGCTTCAAATAAGAAAACAACATTTTACCAATGGAGTGAGAAAAATATTTTCTCTGAAAACTAATCAAATCAAAAGGTTATCTTGTTTTAAAGATTTTATTTTATTTTATTTTATCAAAACTGCTTGTCCTATGTCGGGGAAATACTGTAGCCTATTTCATTTTATTTATATTAAAAAGCTCCAAAAACTCCTCGGGTGAGTAACATTATATTTAAACAACTTAATTATATTAAACATTTTGCCAGTGACGTCAAAAATAGTATAATAAAAATCAATGAAGTTATCTTGTTTTAAGGATTTTTGTTTATTTTATTTATATATATTATATATATATATATATATATATATATATATTATTTTAAAAAACTACACAAAATAATATATATTATATATATATATATATATATATATATATAGTATTTTACAAAACTGCAAAAGGTACCAAGACTTGTTATATATAGAGAATATGTTTTTTTTACATTTACATTAGTGAATTAAAGAAGGAAATTTAATGAGATATATGCTTCAAATAAGAAAAAAAAAAAACGTTTTGCCAATGTAATTATTTTTTTTATCAACACAAGTCTTATACAATTCAATAAAGTAAATTTATCTCATTTTAATTATTTGATTTTATTTTTACAAACTTAAATAAGTCCTAAGTCTTAATTTCTTATTTATGTAGAGTCATTGCCATAAATGTGAGCAGTCATATGTTTATGTATTTATCTGTCTGATGTCAGAAATTTATCTATAAATTGTCTTATTGTTCTCAAAATTAAAATATAAAAATATGTAATTTTATGCTATCTTTATTTCAAAAGTTACAAAAAAAATTTGATTTATCATCTTAAAAACTCTTTATTGTAATTTACAGAAGGGTTATATATTTGTATTAGGGTTTTAGCAACGTAATATATTAGACACATGCACAGTTTCACCTATTAGCAAATGAAAGATTTGCTATATTTTTTTCGTAATCTGTGATTTGAAAATAAAAATGGGTTATTAGTCCAGCATACATAAGATCCAACATCTGTGTTTGTCTAAGCGGGGGTCGTATCATTCGAGTGTCTGGCCTGCATCTGGACGTGGTACAGGAGCCTCGTATCCACGTGACCCTGACGCCTCTGGAGCCGCACTCACAGAAGAGGAAGAGGAGGAGGAGGAGGAGCAGTGTGGATTACAGTCTCCTCAGAAGAGCTCGGCGGATCATCCCAGAACCCAACTGTCCTGAAGATAGTCTCTGTGTCGTCAAACAGGTAGAGTTCACACAAGTGAGTCTGTGCTTGTGCTTTCTCACAGCATTAAACAAACTGTCCAGTATGCACATGTCAGTCATTGTAACACAGTTGGTTTCCTCGTGTCCTGTTCCTGATCAGGTGGAGGAGCGGTGCACAGTGAACAGCTCAACTCTGATCCTGTGTCCCACTCCGGAGGTGGGGCCCGAGGCCCTACGTGCTGCTGTCAGTGTGCATTTCCTCCTGGATAACCTCCACTTTGAGTTTGAGGCGGTCAGCGGCAGCCCCTTCAGTTATGAGCCCAATCCTGTTCTTCATAGCCTCAATCAACACGACCCCAGCAAACCCTTCAGACACAAACCCGGCAGCATCATCTCTGTGGAGGTCAGGCCCTTCTCAACTGTATATTAATTCACTGAAGATTGTTATTTTGTTATATCAAAAACATAGTGTAACTATAGAATTCAAAGCCCCAAAACTAATAATAGTTAATATAACTGAACTATAACTGAAATATTATATTATATTAATTATATATTATATTATATTATATTATACCATGGTCTGTCTGAATACTGGATTCTGATTGGCTGGCAGGTATGCATTAAAACTCTTTAATGCACAGGTAGTTCCAAGTCAGTTTATTCATCGTTCTATATTAATGTGCTGCTTTAATTGATGCACACAAACCCACACATATCACTTTCACACAAACACACACAGACAGACAGGGAGAGAGAGAGCCGGAGATCGCAGATTGCATAAGACAAATACGGCCACCCCCACAACTAGTAAAAATATTATTTGTGCAGCCCTGCTGTCTTTTGTCCTACTGTGACCGTTCCATATTAATGCACTGCTTTAATTGATGCACACAAACCCACACACATCAATCGCACACATGCACAGAGAGAGAGAGAGAGAGAGGGAGGGGAGTGAGAGTCGGAGATTGCAGACACACACACACAAACTTGTCAATGCTTCCCCGCGACTTTTATTAATAAAATAGCCTAGATACTAGATCACTACATTATATTTCATCAGCAACGAGGTGTGAAATCGCTGTTTTTGAAGTAACACAGCTTCATTGTTTGTAGAGAGACGCACAGACGAAGGTAACGCACACACAACTGTCATCTCTCTTTCTCTCTCTCTCTCTCTCTCTCTCTCGATCGATATATAAATAATTCAAATACATGCTATAATTCAAATAAATGTTATCTTACCGCACTATTTCATCTCTGTGTCTGATTTGAAGTGGGAAGAATGCTAGCGCTAACGTGCCGTAACTGATTAAAATAAGCGTCATTTTTACCCTTCCGGTCAAATATTGCACCGCAAACATCCTTAACAACTTTTACTGGTCAATGCTGGCAAATGACCATAGTGGTATAAGCGGGATAATGCACGGCTAGCTGTGCATTATCCCTTACTTATATTATATTATAGTATAGTATAGTATAGGTAAACCATAATAACTACCGAGATTTCTTTCTTTACAATTACATAAAAATTGTATTTAATACAAATTTAAAAATGAAATTACAATGAATTATATTATATTATATTATATTATATTATATATTATTATACTATATTATATCATATTATATTATTTTTTATTTAATGAAATAATGAAGTAAAAAGATTGCATTGTGCTAAAAAACATACTGTAACTCCAGAATGGAATCTCGTCCCCTGTGTATTAATGCACAACAGATTATTTGGTTATATACACTCGAATGGCCCATGAATTGTACATAAAAATGACAAGCGCTTTGTCTGAATTTGGATTCTAGGGGGAGAATCTGGACCTGGCCATGTCTAAGGACGAGGTGGTTGCTCTGATTGGTGATGGAGAGTGTGCTGTGAAGACTCTAACCAGAAACCACCTGTACTGTGAGCCTCCGACACAGCAGCCGTCAGTGGCAGCGACCAAGAAACGAGAGGCTGCCGACACGCTCCCAGAGTTCACTGTACGCCAACCTATATCTGTCCTCTTTTGTGTTTGCAGTGTTTCCCAATGATACGATATGGAAATCAGTTTTTTGTGTGTGTTTGTGTAGGTGAGGATGGGGAATCTGAACTTTTCTCTGGGACGGGTGCAGTATGATTCTCAGGGCCCGGCTGCGTTCCCTCTGGAGGCCCAGGTGGGAGTCGGGTTGGGAGCCTCCATCGTGGCTCTTATTGTGCTGGTTATCGTACTCATATACAGGTATTCCCACACAGATTATACAGTTTATTACTCATTTTAGACTTGCGTTGGGATCAAAAAGTGATGATGATAATAATAATAATAATAATAGTAATACAATTTATTATTCTCCACGAGTTTAAAATCTGATTATCACATTATGAAGCATGAGACCATTGAGAACACACAAACATTTAGTTGTATTAAATTTGTCAAAATACTAACTTTTTGTTTGTTTTCGAATTTAAATTTAAAAATGTTTGATTTACAGTATTGTCTCGGATACCCCAGTGTACAGTACATATGTTTATGCTTGGTATGCTTGTAACAATAGATTTATTACACATTTGTTTATCTTTGCTAATGTTAGCTAATGAAAATACAGTTGTTCATTGTTAGTTCATGTTAGTTCACAGTGCATTAACTAATGTTAACAAACACAACTTGTGATTTTAATAATACATTAGTAAATGCTGAAATTAACTAAGATTAATAAATGCTGTAGAAGTATTGTTCATTCTTAGTTCATGTTAACTAATGTAGTTAACTAATGGTAACTAATGAACCTTATTGTAAAGTGTTACCTTTATATTTATTATGTGTTTGTGTGTGTTTAACAGGAGGAAAAGCAAGCAAGCACTAAGAGACTATAAGAAAGTCCAGATCCAACTGGAGAATTTGGAGACGAGTGTCCGAGACCGCTGTAAAAAGGAGTTCACAGGTCAGACGCTCCCACATAAACATCAGCCAGACTTGGACGACATGCTTGAAATGCCTTTATAATAAACCGTGTGTGTGTGTGTATTATGTGCAGATCTGATGACTGAGATGATGGATGTGTCCAGTGATCTCATGGGCTCTGGGATTCCAGTCCTGGATTATCGTAAATACTCCGAGAGGATTTTCTTCCCTGGTCACCGTGATTCTCCTCTGAGACGGGACCTTGACGTTCCCGCCTGTCGCCGGGCCACAGTGGAGCAAGGCCTGGTTCAGCTCTCTAACCTGCTGAACAGCAAACTGTTCCTCACCAAGGTGGGCTTTCCTTAAACCTGTGAGAAAGAATTAGTCAAACAGCCGAACTGGATTATATGGACCATTAAGGTTTTAAGGCTGGGTGTGTCCTCATCTCATATCCGTCATATACTTCCCTACAGTTCATCCACACTCTGGAAGCCCAGCGGACCTTCTCTCCACGGGACAGGGCGTATGTGGCCTCCCTCCTCACAGTGGCGCTGCACGGCAAGCTGGAGTATTTCACAGACATCCTAAAAACTCTGCTTAGTCACCTGGTGGAGCAGTACACCACTAAAAACCCCAAACTCATGCTGCGCAGGTCAGTAGTGACGAGTCTGTTTGTCAGATTTGAATTAAAATCACTGTACACTGTAATCACATGAATACACTGCTGATAACTGTGGCGTCATTGATTCTCAGTGGAAATCTCTCATGTGTTGTAGGACCGAGTCTGTGGTGGAGAAGCTGTTGACTAACTGGATGTCCATATGTCTTTACACCTTCCTCAGGGTGAGTGACGCTTGTTTTGCTTTGGGTTTGGTTCACAAGGGCTCAGTAAAAGATACAATGAAATGGATGAGAGATTGTACTAGTTACATATTTAACCACAGTACTTGTAGTTAAATATGTAACTAGTCCATAGTAAAAGCAACTTACATCGCAGATTAATACAATTAATTAACAATGTAAATTTTATACAGAAGGTCATCTTTAACCCTGTAAAGCCTAATGTATCACGCAAATTTCTATGGGCTCTAAATTATCGATGTGATCAAAACTTTGCTGAAACTACATGCTGTCTGTCGTCTGATTGAGAGTATGTACTGTTTTAGCAAGGAAAAGGCCTTTTAGTATTGTAAAGAATTTGTATAATTAGTGTATTTAGTACAACTGTCCATCTTCAGACTGTGGTACACGTGCCCTTTTTGCTGTGAAATCTTTACTGATTTTTATAAAGTAAACATAATTTTATATTGTTAGTAATATTTGCATAACTGAATGTAAGCTTAACTTGGTATTTAATATTTCACATCCATGTATTTGTGTATTTAGTAAGTAGCCATGTTTGTTTGTCATATGGCAGGACACAGCAGGTGAGGCGTTCTACATGCTGTTCAGAGCCATAAAGCACCAGGTGGATAAAGGTCCAGTAGATGCTGTTTCAGGCAAAGCCAAATACACACTCAACGACAACCGACTGCTGCGGGAAGACGTGGAGTACCGCACACTGGTGAGACACACACACTCTCTACACTGATGCAGAAATGAACTTTATACTAAAGTGTCATGCATAATCTAGATAAAAAAGATTGATATTTTACTGTTTCTTTATGTGTTTTTCCTCAGTGGCATTGTTTTCAATCTGATAACTCGTTCACACCTGACATATAATATGACAGAGTCCTAAAAAAGATATGGAAAGTTTTTCAACTTTTAAGCAAACAACTGCTTTTCAACCTCTTTCCGTGTTGTTCTGTAGACTCTGAATGTTCTGGTGAGCAGCGGAGGTGCTGGTGAGTCTCAGACGGTCCCCACTAAAGTGCTGGATTGTGACACCATCACACAGGTGAAGGAGAAGATTGTGGAGCAGACATTGAAGGGCACGTCATACTCCCAGAGACCCTCCGCAGACTCCGTGCATCTGGGTAAGATGCACCAAGCCAATTATTAAAAGAAAAGTATATTTATATGCATAGTTACTGTATATTTGTTACTTGAAATACATAAAAATGAATGATTTAAAAAATGTTTATATAAAACTATTTAATTATATATTTAATCACTTATTTAATATAAAATAAAATAATACGATTTTATAAATATATAATTTAATATTTTTATAATAAGGCATTTATTTGTAGTTCCTGTGATCCCGTGTTTTATAGAGTGGAGGGCGGGAATGGCTGGTCATCTAATCTTGTCGGATCAGGACTTGACATCAGTGGTTCAGGGGTCCTGGAAACGCCTCAACACTTTACAACACTACAAGGTCTCTCTAGTTGTACCTCAATCTATTGACTTCATTTTGTGGAATGCAATTTTGCATGCTGTATTTTTTTTGAGTCATTGTTGATTTGTAAGTGTTTCCTATATCTCTTCAGGTCCCAGATGGAGCAACAGTAACACTGGTGTCACGACAATCCAAGCAAATCCACCACGACAGCCATGACTACATACCCGGAGAGAGTAGGTTTCCTTGTTTTTAAGCATGACGTGGTGTTTAGAGTGTTAAAAACATCAAAATTTACCAAATCAGTGTAGAATTCAGTTGATATGCAGGTTTGCATATACTGATAGTTCTAATCAGAATATAGAGTTGAACTATCTTAGTTGTTAGTTTTAAAATATTAGTTTTACTAACTTTTTCCTTTTTTATTGACGTTTCAAATAATTATTTATTTATTTGTTATGATTAGTAATATCTTTTCATTTATATCCATGAAGTTCCACATAAAAAAATCTAATTAATTACATATATACATATATAATTTACGGTTTCATTCAAAAGCAGACATTACAGATTGTTTATTTAATATACTCTACTGTTAAAAGTTTGGGGTCAGTAAAAAGAAATTAATGCTTATATTTAGAAAGGATGCACTAAATTGAAGAAAAGTGACAAAGACAAAAATGTAACTTTCTATTCATCAAAGAGTTCTGAAAAAAAGCCATATTTTGGTTTCTGCAATAATATTAAGCAGCACAACTGTTTTCAACATTGATAATAATAGGAAATGTTTCTTGAGCAGCAAATCGGCCTATTAGAATGATTTCTGAAGGATCATGTGACATTAAAGACTGGAGTAATGATGCTGAAGTTTCAGCTTTGCATCACAGGAATAAATTACATTTTAAGATACGTATATTCAAACAGAAAATGGTTATTTTAAATTGTAACAATATTTCACAATATTACTGTTAATATTTGATCAAATAAATGCAGCCTTGGTGAGCATAAGAGACTTTTTTTTTAAATAAAAACTTTAAAATCTTACCGTCCCCAAACCTTTGAACTGTAGCGTACAAACCAAAATACTTCAAAGAAAACCGTTTGCTCATACCTCTCATATGTTCATATATTCTTTCTTTCCTCTCTCAGAGACCCCGATGTTGGAGGATGGAGACGAAGGAGGAGTGAAGCAGTGGCACCTGGTGAAGGCCGGTGAGGAGGCGGAGCTACCCAAACACAGACGGGGCAGTCTGAGAGACAAAGAGCGTGAGAGAGCCAAGGCCATCCCAGAGATCTACCTCACACGCCTGCTGTCTGTGAAGGTACCGCACACACACTCCACTGTCACACTTCACTTTAAATAGGGCCAGATGGATCACCTGTACTGTGTGTTTTAGGGTACACTGCAGAAGTTCGTAGACGATCTGTTCACTGTGATTCTGAGCACCAGTCAGCCGGTTCCTCTGGCTGTCAAATATTTCTTTGATCTGTTGGACGACCAGGCTGCACAGCACAACATTACAGACCCAGAGACAATCCACATATGGAAAACAAACAGGTTGGTAAATAATTATTTTAAGGATAAACCAAGAATCATGGGTAATTTGGTCCCAACTTGTATTTTGACTTTGTTTTGCAGCTTGCCACTGAGATTCTGGATTAATATCTTGAAGAACCCTCAGTTTATCTTCGATGTTCAGGCCTCTGACAATGTAGACGCAGTGCTGTCAGTCATTGCTCAGACATTCATGGACTCCTGCACTATCGCCGACCACAAACTGGGCAGGGTAAGCCAATCAAAATAAAGCTGGAAGAGATGGATTGTGGGAAGGATCCAGATAGAGAGATCAGCTGCTAATGACTTTCTGTGTTGTACATACAGGATTCCCCAATCAACAAGCTCCTGTATGCTCGGGACATCCCACGCTACAAACAAATGGTGGAGAGGTGAGTTCAGATAGCTCATATTAATGCAGTTTAATGCGTAATGACATGTACTCACCATACTTTGTTGATTGTATTTCATCAGATATTATTCAGATATAAGACAGACCATCCCTGTCAGTGACCAAGAGATGAACTCCTCTCTAGCTGAACTCTCTAGGGTGAGTTATGGGCATTTACCTAGTCTGTGATACTCGGGTTACCATATTTGCCTCTGTAAAAGTTGGGGAATGTTTTAAGATTAAGTTTCTGTATGAATCCTTCTGTCAAGTCCTACAAAATGTATAGCTCCGATTTCATTTCTGTTTATAAAATTTTCCAGCCATTTAAAATTTTCTGATAAATGTACTTTGTACTATATAATTATTATAAGCTGTTGGTCTGATTCACATGAAATTTGGCATGCATGGTCTTGAGACACTCGTGACAAAAAGTTATCAAAAGGATTTCGATTTGCCTAAACGTTGCAAAAAATGATGAATATTTGAGGTGTTGCCTGTTGTAACTAATAGATTGATATCTGGTGAATGCAAAATCCAATTTTCAAGAAACTTAAAGTGATAGTTTACCCAAAAATGAAAATTACCCCTTGATTTACTCACTCTCAAGCCATCCTAGGCGTATATGATTTTTTTTTCTTTCAGACGAATACAGTCAGAGTTATATTAAAAACATTTCCTGGCTCTTCCAAGCTGTATAATAGCAGTGAATGGTGGTTGAGATTTTGAAGCCCAAAAAAGTGCATCCATCCATCATAAAAAGTGCTCCACATGGCGTAGTGGGTTAATAAAGGCCTTCTGGAGTCTATGCGTTTGTGTAAGAAAAATATAGATATTTAAAACTTTATAAACCGTAATCTTTAGCTTCTACTAACTGTTGTACGCACATACAAGAGAAAGTGGTGTTCCAGCGGATGACGTAGCCGTAACGCATTTTTAATTGTAACTACTTCATTATGATATTAATATTTACCCTCTGCTATGCTTCCTTTGCAGAACTACTCTAATGAAGTTAATCATCTAGTGGCATTGCATGAGTTGTACAAGTATATCAACAAATACTATGATCAGGTGAGAACTTCGGTATATTCTGTCTCTCTCTCTCTCTCTCTCTCTCTCTGTATGTTTGTTTTACATTCAAATTGTATTAATAGAATTTTTTAAAAGAAAAAGTGTTATATCAAACAGGAATTGTTTGATTATTAAACTGAAATCATATTTTAAAGGTAGGTCATCTTTTGTCTGTTTTGGGTGCTTTGCCCTTTAGATGAGTTATTGATATTTGCATGCTCTGGTGTGAATAGTGATGAAGGGGCTTGACAGCACGTTCTTGTCATGCACTCATGCTTTGGCACGTGTTTTATAGCAACCTAGTAGCAAAACGATGCACAGTATTAACAGTGACAAAAATAAACTTTCATTGCAAACATCTCCTGCCCTACTGCCCCACATTTAAAAGTAGAGCAATATTTGCTGGTAGACATTACTTTTATCATGAGGAATCACAATTTTCTTGATCTTTCGAGAATAAAGGATTTGTTGTACTATTAACATATGTCACTTTAGGTCACTTAAACACCTGACCTTTTCTTGTAAAAGTTTACTGTGTGCTTTTGCAACTTTCTGATGTCAGACAGATGGATATGAACACTGTCAGTTAAAGGCAGAGTAAGTGATTTCTGGTAGCCAATGTTGATATTTGAAATCACCAAAACAACAGAGGAAGTAGAATAAATACTGTTATTCAAAAACCCGAGAAACTAAAAATAAGAGTAAAATGTGGTAAAGTCTGCATTTCTTGCTGTTGGTAAACTGTCAAAATATTTTTTAAAGTTGTAATTTTATATATATTTATATATACAGTGCCCTCCATAAGTATTGGGACTGTAAAGAAAAAAAATAGCTCTGTTTGCTGTGGAGTCAAGAAATCTGTAAATATGATTAAAAGATTAATATGAGACAAAACTACAGAAAGTCACATTTCATTATTGGGTGATTCAACACATAGATGTTTTACCAGCTAAGAAGATCAGCACTTTTAGAGTTTCATCCCTCTATCTGACCCATCTCTATGATATCTATGGTCTCTATCTCAGTGTAAAATTAAATAAAAAATTGCATAATATTACCCCTTTTTACATTGTCTGAAACTAAACAGCCAACTCTAGGGTGATGGTTTACATATCAGGAAATAAAAAAGATCCACAATCTTCTTCATGTCTGTAACTTTTTTTGTGTCTCTTCAGATCATCACAGCTTTAGAGGAGGACTCCACTGCTCAAAAGATGCAGCTGGGCTACAGACTGCAACAGATCGCTGCAGCTGTGGAGAATAAAGTCACTGACCTTTGACCTGTAACCTCGGACAGACGCTTGAAAAGACTGTAAAAGAGACAAAGCCAGTGACAGAAAGAGACCAGAGACCTTGCCAGAAGGCATGAACTCTTGCTTCCTGAAGACTCCAGAGCACAGAGGATATTTGAGATAGACGGTTACGATTAAAGACAGCATTCACAGATTCAAAAAGCGTGAATCTCTCATAGATCTGTAGAGCTGCTCTCTGTTTCATCTGCACAGCCGTCACTCGCTAACACGCTTCAGTGCTGTAAAACTACTGTTGTTGGCGGGGCATTTCTGAGAGATGCGCTAGTCCTACAGGGTTTTTTTGTATTGTGACTTGAGGCCCCAAGCTCAGAATGTTGTTTTCAGCGTGTCAAGCATGCTTGAGCACCACCTTTCCTGTATTTAAAAAAGAAGTCTTACTGTTTGTCGGATTCTTGGAAAACCGCATTTGGTGTGATGTGCTTTATGTTGCAGCCTGTGTCTTAATAACAAAGAATTCAAAAGGAAAAAAAACAAAGGATGCCTTCTAAGGACAACTAAATGAATTTTCTTGCTCAACACTCCCTTTTGTTGAGTGTTCTCTTGTAAACTGTTTTTATCCAGATTTTTTTGTTTTAAATGAAAACACTGTTTTAAGGGAACTCAACCTAACGGGGCCATTTGAGATGTCTTCATGTGTCACATGCATGGATACTCACCGTGAATTCAGAGATTTTAGGTTGGCACATGCATGTCGCGTGTGCATTTTATTGTCGATTCTGATTATGATTAACACACTTGATTTAGGTGGATATGTTTCATGTAACGTTCACAATGCTCAGTTGTACATTTGTTCATACTCATTAAGGTTTGTTTCTTCAGTGTTAAAGTGTGCTTTCCAATGTTTTTGGTTGGCTTTCAGAAAAAAATAATAATAATTGTGGCTGTCCCAAATGTGTGTATATCTGCGATACATCCCTGCACACTTGGCTGAAATAGTTATGCCAGAAGTATTTAATTTATGCTGGGGTTTTTTTTGTGTGTGTGATCATGACCATCCTTTCAAATGTTTCAATAACTATTTTCACAGTTGTTTTCGTTTGTTTGTTTTTTTGCAAATTTATTCTCCAGCTGTCACACTCTTAATTCTTGATTTGATTCTGTGATCGGATCATGGCTAACATAAGTTTTTTTTTTTGTTTTTTTTTTTATTCTTACAGTTTCTGAACACTGAATGCACATTATATTGTGAGCTGACGTATATTGTCGTACTGTGCATTGCTCGCATGATTTACTTTCTTATTGATTTTTATGTATTTATTTATTTATTTTGTGTTCGATTAATGTACAGACCAAATTTGGTAATTATGATCCACCCCCAAATTCAAAATTAACTTCTTTTTTTTTAACTGACCGCAGTTTTCAGTTTTTGTTCAGATCTCTTAAGCATTCATGCAGATTTACTGGTCTTATTTTTGCTGTAGTTCACTGTTGTGCTCAGTGTTTTGTACGTATGTGTGGCTGTGATACACTATAGATTATTTTGTAAGTCTTGCACAGGACGCGCTGGCCTATTTGAAGCGATTGTAAATTGTTTCTACCATCTGTTGTTCTTCTACCTGTGCATTTCTGTTGTAAATAAAATATTGCTATAACTCATTAAATGTTTCTGAATTTGCTGGACATTCAGCATTTTAAGACTAAATGATTTTTTAATAGTTTCAGAATACCATTCAGTAATTATAAATAAGTAATGCTTGAATTAAATTATTGGATCTCTGGAAAATAAGTGTCTCCATCATATCCTTCCATACACACAGTAAAGTAAAGGTTTACCTTATGAGGACTTTCTATGTGTGCTGCTGTCGCCCAGGATTCACTCCAGCCAGGATATGAGCATCTGCCCATCTGCCAGGTCTAAAACCAGCCTCTGCAGGACAGCAGCAGAGAGACTGTGTATATTTATCCTCGTATCTTTAATCCCTGTCAGAGAAAAGACCTCAGGAGTGTCTTCTCTAGGTGACAAACATCAAGACTTCTGCTTCCTGTGTGAACATGAATAGCTGTAATCTAATTGTTAGTCATTATAAACCACCCATAATACATTCATATGCTGACAAATTGCTTTAATCGTGCTGTGATCCTAACAAATGGTAGGCTATATTGTCAATAAATATTAATCTTTTACTCTTAAGTGCCAGTTTACTCACTCATGTTATGTTTTAAATAAGGTCGGGTCAAAACCAGTGTTGCCAATTTGGGGATTTTGTCGCCAAATTTAGCTACTTTCGTGTTGACTGAAATAAGTTTGTATGAATAACGTTTTTGTTTTTGGAGAATCATAATATCACTTATCTGTTGTATTTGAGCAGGACAGGGATGCACTTTGGTGACATAAAACAAATTCCGTCTGCGCAGTGAACACACCAGTACGCCACGCCTGCCACACCACAATTTCATTATAAGCATCAATCAAGATGCCGGAGAAAAAATTAACATCTTGTTTTAACCACGGACACAAAAGTTATACCACAATTCATGCACAGTCATGTCAACCAGATACTGAGAGAGAGACACAGTGCATGTTTTTTGCCAGCTTCAGTGTTTTCTCTGCTTTCTATGCTTTAAAGTGAGCAGCACAGCCACCTGTCTCCTCAGAATATCTCTCAACTCAGAGAGAGAGTTCATAAAGTCAGGGATGAGCATCTATAAGCAGCTCCAGACCTCTGATGAAATCATGCAAACAAACACAAAGGACATGATCTGCACCAAATCGTGAGTAGCTACAACACGCTTCTTTACTCAGCATGCTTCTGTATATATTTTACTTTAAAGGCTTTACAAAAAATATATTTAAAATCTGCTGCTGCTGTTGGGTTGTTGTTTTTGGGTCAGAGATTATGTGTGTGGCCTTTGGTAGTCGTATAGTAAATGTCTAAATTCTTCTATAAAATGTTGAAATGAGAGAGTTTGGCTCCAGTTGTATGACAGTAAACACTGGTCTTCAGGACCGGGATACTGTACTGCCCAACTGGTGTTGGCAGAAGTTATTCCTTATATAATGAAAATGTCTGCTTTATATTTAGATGAGTTATGTTGTTTTATATATAGTATGTGCTTTATTGGTCTATAGCACTGGTTCTCAGACTTCAGGTCATGTACCTTTTTTTTTATCATTTAACACCATCCACCTTATTGACATTTCTTGCATTTTATTTTAAGTATTTGACGTAATGGCATACTTAGATTGATATCAATATTTCTGTAGTTGAGGTAAATTATGCTGCCATTATACTCACATCAGTCTGTTGACTGGTCTTCATTGTTTTAACACAGACATATCACAATAATTATAGAATTATAAGTTTGGAATGAATAAATTAATTTGCATATATTATAAATTATATATACTGTATATACTGCTGTCAGGTTAGTTACCTATAAATCCTGCTTAAAATCAGAAATTACAAATAATGCAAGAAAAAAAATCTATATCAATTTAAAATAAATTCTCTATTTTTCATAGCATGTTGTAAATTTCCAAACTCCACTTGTACCACAGTTAATAATATTAATAATATATATGTGACCTTGGACCACAAAACCAGTCTTAAGTGTCAATTTTTCAAAATTGAGATTTCTACATCATCTGAAAGCTTTTCATTTATGTATTGTTTGTTAGGATAGGACGATATTTGGCCGAGATACAACTATTTGAAAATCTGGAATCTGATGGTGCAAAAAAATTGAAATATTGAGAAAATCGCCTTTAAAGTTGTCTAAATGAAGTTCTTAGCAATGCATATTACTAATCAAAAATTACGTTTTGATATAGTTACGTTAGGAAATTTACAAAATATCTTCATGGAACATGATCTTTACTGATATTTGGCCAAGATACAACTATTTGAAAATCTGGTATCTGATGGTGCAAAAAAATTGAAATATTGAGAAAATCGCCTTTAAAGTTGTCTAAATGAAGTTCTTAGCAATGCATATTACTAATCAAAAATTACGTTTTGATATAGTTACGTTAGGAAATTTACAAAATATCTTCATGGAACATGATCTTTACTTAATATCCTAATGATTTTTGGCATAAAAGAAAAATCGATAATTTTGACCCATAAAATGTTTTTTTGGCTATTGCTACAAATATACCCCAGCGACTTAAGACTGGTTTTGTGCTCCAGGGTCACATATATTTAGTAAACTTTTTAAAAAATGCTGTGGTTGTACCATGGTACAGTGATGGTATCAGGTGTAATTTAAATAGTACTATGATTTATACTCTGGTACTGAGTACCATATTCATACAATGGTATTATCGTGGTACTTTTTCCACATGTGTCAGTAATGTTACAGTGAGTTTGACTGTGGGAATATTCCCTCATGTTGCCCTCCAAAGTCTTGTGTGACATGAGTGACAGACAGACAGTGGCATGATATATTTTCAGGTCACGGTTCAGATCCTGCTGTAAACTCCCACAGCAGCGGGTGTTGAGAATGAGATCTAAATGCAGTACTGGCTTGTCTGACCCCTAGTGAGCCAAATGTGTCAGGATAGAAGAGCTGTGCGTCCACCTCTGATGGACGTTTATGGTTGTCTAAGAATACACAGCACAGATTTAGTCTTTTGTATATGCTCCATTACATCAGCAACAACTGAATTATTTATGCTTACATTTGCAAAGATTTATGACTCTACTTTTTGCATCATATGTGTGTGCATGAATGAATAGTCAGATGTCACTTTAAAATGATAATATACTGTATGTATGTGTTGGGTTATAATGCAGGTCTGATGTAGTTATGGACTCTAAGCTGAAAACACATAGGAATGATAAACATCTTAAACCTGATTACACAGAGGAACATGAAGATCCAAGAGATTATTGCTACGGTGAGCCTCTTTAAATCTGTAATAAAATTAAAGAGACTGAAGAGCCATGTAGTCAATAATACAACATAGTGATTCTATAGAAAGCCCTTTTCTGGTTCCCCAAAGAGCCTCCAATGAACAATTTTTAAAAGTACCATTTTTCCCATAGTGTAAAGAACATAAAGAACCTTTGTGCAGTAAAAAGTGTCCATGGATGTTAAAGGTTCTTCATGGAACCACAGATGCCAATTAAGAACCTTTATTTTTATAGATGTATACAGTTCATTGACTTACCTCCCTCTATAGGTGGGTATCACCCAATCCAGGTGGGAGATGTGTTTAATAAGAGATACAAGGTTCTGTCAAAGCTGGGTTGGGGTTATTTCTCTACTGTATGGCTCTGCATTGACCTCAGGTACTGAAACTTTGTGTTCTATTTGTTGCTTTGTGTGTATTGATGTGTGTGTGTTTAAAAGTTCTCAAGTGTTTGTGTTTGTGGTTTTGCAGGTCAGGCAGGCATGTGGCAGTGAAGGTGTTGAAGAGCAGATCTAAACCCTCTTAAAGGACGTATAGTGCAGTTACTGGATGAGTTTAAGATAGCTGGTGTGAACGGCATTCGTATCCTTTCATAATATCATGTATGTGAAATTAAGCACTACAACAATAATAAACGCTAGCCAAATGTTATTCATCACCTTTTCATAGTAAAATTATCACTTTATGATTGGATTCAGGGACGTTTTAACCTTTCAAAAAGAGTGTCTACATTTTGATAGCATTTAAATATATATCATATATAAATATATAAACCGTCTTTACCTGCAGTACAAGCTGCACACGCAATAAAGAGCTGCTTCATTGACAAACAATGACAAACATTTGTTTCCTACAATTAATTGTAGTTAAATATCTACTTCATCCAGCGCACTTTTTTTTTTTTTTTGGTTTAAAATAAAATATCTTGTTACTTTTGCAAACGATCCAGTGCCTGAGTGAACTGTACTATTGAATCCTATTGAAACTGAATCACGAACAGTCTCAGATCTTTTTGCAAACCAGTTTGACTGATTAGATCAAAAGAGTGATTTATTTGCAAATCTGGCATTACTAGTGATTCTAAATCTAAACTGCTGTTAGCAAACACATTAAGCGCATTTAACTGGCTTGATTTGCTGAAATATAAGAAGTAAATTATTCTTAAAGGGGTGGTTGACTGTTTTTTTTCTAGGCTTGATTGTGTTTATGGGGTGCAGTCTAACGTGTTAATGCTTAGTTTTTTGTTTTTTTTCACATAATTTACCTTTATTCTTCACCGCTCTGTCCCTTCTCTGATAAATGCGCTGATCATTTCCTGCTTTTATGAAGCCCCTCCCTCAGAAATACGTGATGGGCTCTGATTGGTTAGCTAGTCCAGTGTGTTGTGACTGGCTAAACCTCCTCTAGTGCGCGTCTAAACGTCCCACCTCACCTCAGCGGCATGTGCTCCGGTTATATTGTAAACAATGGCGTCGTCTATATTGCTTAACAATTTGAGCCCGATTGAGATGCAGAGGATATTAGTGAAGAAGATCGCGCAGAACCTGTGCAAGCACGGCTCTTGATGGTATGTTGTTTTGTTTGTTGTTGTCTCATACTTTTAGATACGCTGTTATTTCTGAATGAGAGAGAGAGAGAGATGCATAGCAGGGGGGCACGAGGAACAGTATTAAGAACCGCTACTTTAGAACATTGATTTTGAAACTTGTGAATCCATTAGAATCTTTAGAAGACAGAATCGCGATTCATATATGAATAGATTTTTACGTGCACCCCTAGTTTTCTTCCTCTTCTCTAAAGCAGCGCAACATAGCCCCGCCCCCTTTGTTGCATGTTCCCGGGGGCGGAGTTTATCAGGGTTTGTGATGTCACAAACCCAGGAAGTAGCTCGTTGTAGTCCCTACAAGCCTTTTTTGTAGGCATTAAACTGCCAGAATTTTAAAAGACAGATATCTCCGTTTGCATTGAACTTTCAGCGCTGCAACTTTGCAGATATTGTTTATGCTCAAACAGGAACATTACACACTAACTACCGTTAAAAAAATGAAATCGCAATCAACCACCCCTTTAAATCAGTATACGTTCATCTTTATTCACATGTAAGTGTTGTTTCGTTTTTGATTGAATCGGTGTTTGAATGAATCAGTTGAGTGAATGACTTAAATGACTCATTAAGTCAGTCATATGCTGCCACCTACTGGCATAATGGTGTACCTGAGAGTCACTAAAAATCTCATAATAAAGAAGTCACTTTCAAACTAAGCAGTTTGAACTCCCTCATATGATACTTCCAATTATGAGTTAAAACTACTGGATTTAGCAATAATAAAAAAAAAAATCACAAAAAAAAAAACTACTGGATTTTGACAGTGAAATTTCACAGATAAACGATAAGTGTGACAGCATCTACAGTGAAAGTCCTGTATTGGAACTTGTAAAGCAAATTAAAAGACTAACTGCTATATAAAATTAATTTCAAGATCTGTTCTGTGGAAAGGTTGGGGTATACTTTTATATAATTTTAGTCTTTTATATAATACAAGTTGATTCTTGACCACTATGTAGATATTTGTCTGGTGTTGGAACTGCTGGGGCCGAACTTGCGCTGTTGGCAAGTGTGTTTTGGTAATCCAGGCCTTTCTCTCACCTGTGTCAAACGCGTCATCACTCAGGTCAGAAACTTCTAATGTGTGTGTAAAATGTAATGTAGACCTGGTGTCTGAAAAGAAAGACCACAGAAATCAGCACAAGACCTGAAAAACTGTATCTGTCTCAGGTGCTTGAAGGTCTGGAGTATCTTCACAGACACTGCAAGATCATTCACACAGACATCAAGCTTGAGAACATCCTGCTGTGTCTCACACCGCAGTCCTCATCTCATCCTCCAGGGGGCGCGATACAAATTTACTCTTCAGCCATTAAAACCACCATGCTCCAGGATCCCGGTAAGAAAATCTTGAAATCTGAATGAAGTAAATCATTACACTGAATCACTGTAATAAATGTAGCATTGAGTCATCGTCTACTACTTTTATGCAGAAGCAGCTGGAAAACCTGGAAACTTGGATAATATCACGGTGAAGATTGCAGACCTTGGCAGCTCATGTTGGGTGGTGCGACACATTCAGTGAATTCATATAATGCTTTCTTCAAAGTCAAAGAATGCGCAGCCTGGTCTTGTGGAAGCATATGAATCAGCGACATTACTTGATGTTTAAATGAATGAATGAATGAATGATGCATTTATATAGCGCTTTATTGTGTATTGTTGTACACCCAAAGCCTGATTGGATTACTTAACCTCTTTTCTTGTTGTTCTAGTACAAACACTTTTGTCAAGAGATCCAGACCAGACAGTATCGCTCTCTGGAGGTTCTCCTAGGTTCTGAATATGGTCCTCCAGCTGACATCTGGAGTGTGGCCTGCTTGGTGAGTCTACAGCTGTCGACGGTGTTTTGTGAAATAGATTCATCCTAAAAGAACATTTCTTCTCGGGTTTCAAAAGTGTACAGCTGTTTAGCACATGATTGGATTACTTGGATTACTTAATTGTGATCTTGTTGTTTGTAGTTTTAAGCCACATTTAGTGAAAAATGTATTATAAAATTAATATTTGCTTTAGTTTTGCTACATTTGAATGATAGAACATAAAAACTGTTATTATATAATTATATTAATATCGATCTGTTTATTATTAATATAAATGTATTTTTATTATTGTATATGTATAATACATTTTTTTTCAGAGCTGGGTAGATTACTTACAAAATGTAGTCTATTACTGATTACAGATTACATGATGAAAACTAGTTAGTAACATAATCTATGTTACTCATTTTAGGTAATCTTACTACATTTTAAAGGGGTCATATGACGTTGCTAAAAAGAACATTATTTTGTGTATTTTGAGTGAGCAGAGGCCGGCTAGAGTGAGTGGAGGGCGGGCTTGCGGCAACCACATGTGACGACCCCGGGCTGGACTCCGTTATATAAACCATATTGATATAAAAAAACAAAGAGAAAGAAAATATATATTTTTAAAAATTCTATCAACATCATAAAATTTATTATACATTACATTACACCAGGGTTTCCCAAACTGGGCTTAATATAAGAATCAGCAGTTACTAAGGGTCACTGGATATGATGAAGACATAGTGTTTCACAGCGTTTAGTAACACTGTTTATTTGTATCTGTATTATTTTTCAACAGGCATTTGAGCTTGTTACTGGTGATTCCTTATTTGAACCAAAAGCAGGGCCAAATTTCTCCTTAGAGGAAGGTAAACTATTTAATAGCCATCATCAATCTTTTTACTAGAGAACTTTTAGATTTGTGGGATTGACCATTTCTATTATTTTAGACCACCTGGCTCATATTATTGAGCTCTTGGGTATGATCCCAGTGTCAGTGGCTCTGTCTGGGAAATATTCCTATGAGTATTTCAACCGCAAGGGTGAGTACAATACTAGATTTGTCTTTCCTAATTCATCTGGCTGTGGCAAAGATTTTATGTTTAATACGGAAATAAAATGAATCTGTTATTCTCCAACAGAAGTGTTACAGCAGTCTCTGTGCTACTATTATTATTAACTATGATTGTTTTTGCACAGGTGACCTGCGGCGAATAGCCGTCCTCCGTCCATGGGGGCTGTATGAAGTGCTGGTAGAGAAATATGACTTTCTCCTCAGAGAGGCATCACTTTTCTCTGATTTCCTGTTACAGATGTTGGACTTCCTGCCAGAGCGGAGGGCAACAGCAGCCCAGTGTCTCAAACATCCCTGGCTAAAGCTGTAACCCTCTCTGGCTTTTTTTACTTAAATAGGTTTCTGTTCATGTCTGTTCTGTGCATGTTGAATGAAAAGGCCATGCTTCCAAAGTGTTTTTCCAAATAGGACTTAGTGAGTGAAAATGGTGCCTTCATTTACTCACCCTCATGTCGTCATGTTCCAAATCTGTATGACTTACTTTCCTCTGTTGAAAATATTTTGATATTTTGATAAATGTCTCTGTATTAAGAGTCAATGAGGGCAAGTAAATGTTTAGTGAACTATCCCTTTTAAACATGGATGGCTGGGTCTGTAACATAGATATGTACATAGCAAAGCTTGCACAGCAAATGCATTTAAAGCTTTGGAATGTGTTTAATCGTCTGGTACATACATTCCACTCTTAAATACGGCCTGTAGTGTTTCTATGCATATGCTATGATGATCATATGACCGATCAGTTCTCCTTACTTGAGTAACATTGGTGCTCTGAGATGTAAGTAGTGTGTTCTGAGTTTAAATATATTAAACAAACCAATTGTTTTTTAATCAATGTGTAAAGAATGAACCTGCAATGAGTGTTATGTCTTTAGATAAATACATGTTTTTTTAAGACACTTCACTATGTTCACTTGTCAAGGTGAATCTTAACGTCTTTTATAATAATGTACACTCGTGTTTTGTCCACTCATCTGTTTGTCCATCTGCATAACATTTTCAGATTGAAATTAAACCTACATAATTTATTAAAGTAATAAAATACAAAGAAAACGAATAATAAAGCAATTGATCTTAATAACAAATTACAAAAACAGACAAAAATGCTAAGAAAAGCTGGTTAATAAACATGCAGATTTCTAGAATACTTGATTCTGATTGGTCAATCGCGGTCAATCAGCAGTCAAATACTTTATGATATCCTACTGGCACTACTTTCATGTCTCTTGTCACAATGGAAGCTTTAACATAATGCACAGGTAAGATTATAAAATCATTTCAACCTCCGCCTCTCTCAATAGATCGACAGAGAATGACAGATATAGACAGACACACGGATAGATAGAGTTTGACGGATTTTAACAAAAGAAGACTGATTCATAACTCTGCAGGTGGAGTTTCCTTATGTATTTTTATTGCTTTGACTGTATCCCCTGTGAATGTTATATCTTCAATAAATAAAAAAAAAGGAGTTTCCTACTTCCTCCTCTGTGCTGAGTTTGATCTCTTCTTCATTGTCTTTGTCTTTGTCCTCCTCATTGGCAGCAAGCTCTTTGGCTCAGCCGATCTCTAGCCCCTCCACCTGTCTCTGTTTCTGTTCCTTTTCCAACCATCTGTAGTTGTAATAGTTCATGACGAAGAGGAAGATACCTCCAGCCAGCATCATCATACCACGAGCAAAGTACATGTATTTATATTCCATGAAGATGTCCACCAGAAAACCTGAGGATAAAAATCTGAATAAACATCCTGAAGATTATAACACAGAGACTCTGTTATAATCTTCAGGATGTTTAGAGATATGACAGTGAGGATCTCATTGTAGGACTTACCAGAGATGGGTGGCCCCAGAAGGACAGGCCCACACTCTATAATGGTAGCAAGCCCAACCGCACTGGAGAACCGCTGGGCTCCCACCAAATCCATGAGCATCTCAAACAGAAGAGCACACACCATCCCAAAAGCCAGGCCAAAAAACACCACCAGGCCACTGTAACCTGGTAAGAGCGGACACATCATATGGCACAGGCCATTATATGTCACAGCGAAGCTGAAGAAATACTGGATCTTGGGTCTGATCCATCTAGTGTTGGCGATCAAACCCGTTCCTGGACATGCAAACATGTCTACTAGAGCGAATATGGAGAGCAGGAATGCTGCAGAGTACTCATCTATCCCCTGATGCTTGGCATATGGTGCCAGGAAGACAACTGGAGCAAAAAAAATCCAATAAACATGAGCACATTCCCTACAAGATAGATCAGGACGCCTCTGTGCTTGAAGAGGGAGACATCAATGAATTGGTTGACATTTGCGGCACAGCCTGACTGCTTGGACTTGTTTTGTCCAGCTGTCTGAGATGTGACGTCCAGTTTCCTGCCTCGTTCTTATCAGTGGTTTTGCTCACTGGCAGTTTTAGCAGTTGAGCACCACTCCTCCAAGGATGAGGAAGCTTCCTCGCCATCCAAAATGGTCAAAGAGAAACTGGTTGAGGGGAGCCAGGGTGGACAGGAAGACAGATTATGGTAAGAGCTGGTTGCAGGTGAAAAGCTAAGCCAAAGCCTGTAAAACAAAAGCATTTTTATGTGAATTTTCATTGAGTTAACATTTGACAAAGTACATCCTCTGCTTGAGAAGTACAGATGTCTTGATAACATATTACTCCAGTAAAAGTACTCTACTAAAAGTACTCTACATCTGTCTTCAACATTGATGGTAATAATAAGAAATGTTTCTTGAGCACCAAATCAGCATATTATAATAATTTCTGAAGGATTATGTGACACTGAAGACTGGAGTAATGATGCTGAGAATATTTTAAAGTATTACTGTCTTTACTGTATATTTGATCCAATAAATGCAGGCTTGGTGAGCAAACTTTTATATATGATGTTAAACAGTTTAGAGTCTCATAACACTATGTATTATTCAGCACTAGTGAGCAACACTGGAGCGCTGAGAAACATTTTACTCCCAATTGACTCTTTTTGAGTCAAACGAGACAGATTCAGTGATTCGTTAACTTGCTTCAAGTGCTTTAAGTGATTATTGAATTACTGAGTGCTGCTATTGGAAGAATCAAATTCACAAATGAATCACATGCCATCTGTGACAAGAACACATGAACAAATGGATTTTTAAAGAATGATTTATTCAAAATCTCTATTAGGTCTCAGATCAATTAAAAATGGTGATCAAACTGACAGATTTGGCCTTGAGGTTGTTATCTTTGATCACACTCATGCAGGGGAGGAACCCCAGTGCACTGGTTTTGCATGTGACTATGCAAATTTATACTAAAAAGATCACAGCTCTGGCTCATTGTGCAACCATGGGACAAAGTAATCTTTGATTTGGGCTCCTACTGTTATTTGGTTACTTCTAGCACACATTGAACTGCTCTGCCTGATTGTGGGAGTACCTAGAATGCCAAGCAATGGCGCAGCTTTCCAAAAATGACGTACATATATATATATATATATTATCAAGCAGAACTAAGTAATATGCTTTCTAACCTCCTGCATGCAAGGTAGCCAGCATGATGGCGGAGACCCAGGCTATCTCACTGTAGGAGATGGAGAAATACTCCTTGAAGTAGATGGTAAGGGATTTGGGGAAGGCGTAAGAGAAGCCGATGGAGATGAAGGATCCAAACACCACGGCCCAGCCCCAGCCTCCATCTGGAGGGGTGTAGCCCAGGTTTGTGGTAGCTGGTGGGGGCATGTTTGCTTTAGTTCCTCTCTAAAATAAAAACAAAGTATGACTTCATCAATATTTTTCATTAAAAGAACAGAACACTTGTTTATATTCACTCAGAAATACTTCAGAAACTTTCTAGTTGATTGATAAATCTTTGTAGCCTACACATTTATTTATTGATATCTACATTTGCACTAACTAAAAACTTTCTGGGGAAACTATATAAATGTCTGCAAAGTATAAGAGACAGGATAAGTGAGCTTACCGCTCTATCAGTTAAGAGACAACTGCTCTTCATGTCCTGTTATCTCTTTTTTTCATCTTCTTATCAGGTCTCTTTTTTTGTAGTTCTTCATATCACGTGAAATGCCATGCCAGAGAGAGAGAGAGAGAGAGAGAGAGAGACTGAAAGTGTGGTTATATTTCTAAAATTAAATATATTTATTAATATATAAGTAGCATTTTATATACACATTTACACAGTCACACACACAATTTAAAATGTAACTAAATAAATAAATAAATAATAGCAAATTATTAAATTGTATAGTAATAGTAGGACTTGCAGACCAGTGTTGTTTTACCATTGTTTTTTATACATTTATAGTATTTATTAATATATTGAATAAGCTTTTATTTTTAACATGTAATATTAGTCATTTTATTAGTCATTTTTATTTTTTAGTTTTTTTTTAGTTTTTCTGTATTTATTTGTATTTCATTTTTTATTTTATTTGTTTACATATTTTTATATAGATGAAATTATTTTTACTTGAGTTTTAGTAATTCCTACGGTGGCCGAGAGAGCTCAACACGCTGCAACTTAAGAAAACACATGCAAATTGAAAAAACACCAGCAAATTAAGAAAACATCTTCATCAGTTTGACAACACACCGCTGCAAATCCTCACAACACATGCAAATGAAGAAACGCGCTGCAAATCCTCACAACACATGCAAATGAAGAAATCCAGTAAATTAACTTAAATTTATTGATGTCATTCAGTTGCCAAAGCAACATTTATTTACCTTTTTTTGTTTGTTTACGTCATACATTCTAATATTCATGTTTTATTTTATTTCAAGTTTTTTTTAAATGGCAAAATAATAATAATAATAGTTTAGTAAACAATAACACCACTGTTGCAGACAGATTTTCTCTTGATATGCTTTCACCTATAGCAGGTATGAGAATTTTCATCATTATTGTGTTGTTTCATATCTAATCCTAAAGGTGATTTCAGACGGAAGTCTTTTCCCTTTCTCTCCAGTAGATGTCAGTGTTGTGTTAACGTCACAGGGCAGGCGGCGCTGTTTGCGGCCTAGTGGAAGCTTTTGCTATAAAGGCCTAAACACAATATATCTAATATAGAGTCGCCTTAAAATTTAACAGTTCGGAGAATTTTACTTTAGCGCACCAATATTGCTATGAATCTATGGCATCTGTCTAGCTCTTCTACTTTGAGAATATAGTCAGATATATTTTTCATGATATATGCTTTTTCTAAAAGACCGTTTTCATTGAATAGAATTTAAAAAATTTTTTTATTTATTATTATTACTTCAGGTTTTAGTTAATGTAATCTGTTTTGTCAAGTTCCAAGTGTATTTCATTTGGATTTGCACTCATTATTAACATAAAAGTAGCATAGTACATAGATTTTTCTCAATTTAGGTGGAATATCACATCTGCTTTACATATTGCTCAAGAATCGGTCGCAGTTCAAGCACAGGAAGTCTATGGTGGCTGCACTATTTTTGCTCAGGGCTCATTTTCACTAAAGGAGTGTCTCCTATTTCTCAACCGGCTCCGGTGGGGGGAGGGATTAAACATAGGCCTACGGCTCCACACGGACTCGAGACAAACAAAAGAACTTTAACGCCAAATCCCACCAAAATTTCACCACATCCACAGCTAAGCGACATTCATATGCCATTTCGCAGCGGCTCTGCGCAGAGCAAGCAGGTTTTTTGAGCGAGTTAGGCCTAGTTCTCTCTCTCCCTCTCCTATGTGCTCTTTCCCGCACTCACTGCTGATCCTGCCAGTGCCGAACAAAGGTAATTACTCAGGAAGCGCTGCGGCCAATCAGAGGAGGCCTTACATCCTGCTAGTGGGAGGGCAGCCAGTCACGGCCCTGCTCTGATCAGACAGGCCTGAGCTCTGAGAGTGGAGAGGAGAGCCCTCCCTAGGCTGAGGCTGTCCTCCATGTTTTATAAGCATTGACATTACACTGTTTCAGCCATGCATCCACAGAGGTAAGCCTGATGTTTTCTTACGTCTGTCCTTTCTTGTCATTGTACTGTTTTCATCCACTGCTAACACTGTGAATTGCAGATTTGATTCTCCAGTGACGGGAGGCCTAGCAAAGGCCTGTGTCTCAGAAAAACAGGGCAGAGGAGGAAGGAGGTGGGGGAGAGGGCCAGAGAAGGGGGGTCAGGCTCTCTCCCTCTCACTCTCCTGAGCTTTGGCCCGTGTGCTGCTCGGTCACATGGTTACACGGCAGACGAAGTCAGCTATCACTTTCATTGCTGTACTGACAAACAGCTCAGTGACAGTCATTTCTGGATATGTAGGGCCCTCTGTTGATCTGCCCCACGTAGGGGGTGGGGAGCTCGGGTGATGTACTTTTTTAAGCTGATTGCCTGTCCCATTGTCTGTTTGTGTCACAAGCCACGCCATAGAAAATGGAGGCATCTGTTAGGGCCTTATTAGAGAGCTGAGAGCCCCAGCTGTGGTCATTTTACACAGGGGCAGGATGGGTAATTCAGGACATGAGCTACCAATGAGGGGCGGAGAGATGAATGTGAAACTTAATTTTTTTTTAATATTAAATTCCCTTTTCAGTGGCAGTCGTGTTTGTTTTATATTTTCAGGTTATAGTTTTAGCTTCAGGAGGGACAGTAAATGACATTCTAGTATCATTCTTCATTTAGCTGGTGGTAAAGCTATTTTTTTTTTTTTTACTGTTTTTGAACACATCCTTAAGAAAATAATTGGTTTATCTGGATATTTGCATTTTTGCTAGCATTTTTACTGTCAATCATATTGTGGGTGCAAGCATGAGTTTAAAAATAGTCTGAGACACTATTTTTTCATATGCATATGCAGCTTTTTCAAGCATTAATTATTTTTGGATAAAGATTTTATCAGATGTATACAAATCATGCAAAAACGTTATACTAAGGAAATGGGCAAAAAAAATTTCCTTAGGCCAATAATTAGCATACATACTCTATGTAATGCCCCGAGACAGACACATGGCAAAAAGCCATTGAGTTCATCAGAATTATGATCGACTTCCATTTTCATTATGAGCAGACGTTTTTTCCATTGCTTTATTGCAAAGTTAGCATTATCGCCACGTTTCTTTTTAAACTTAAAGTGTGTAGAAACAAAACCGATTCTTGTCATAGGACGGCCTATGGTGTAAAACACCAATTTTAAGAAGATGATTTGGATGATATTTACATATTATTCATCTCCTTTATGGTTCTTCAGAGATTTATGTTGAAATTAACAATAAAATAGCACTGCCACATACACACACAGCTGCTCCCAAAGACGAAACAAGCAAGCGCAAACCACACGGGACCAAAAGCCTCCTGCCGCATTCCCAACGGATCCTTGGCCTTTCTAATAATATTTATGGCTGCGTTTAAAAAAAACAACACAAAATACGTATCATATTTCACCTGTATATCAACAACAAATGGCTTGTGAGTTAGTTGTTGTAATTATGAACAATTAATTTAATTGCAATCCCAATACAGTCGACTAGATCTTTATATATTGTTAGCCCAACTGCTCTTTATGGGAAAATGACTGGAGGGTTTTACGTCGGTACGGTACAGCTCAAGTTTTGTGTGTTCCCAGGGAGATTATGCCACTGCGATTGGGATTCTTGTCAAGGAAACAACATCATAAAGGATTGTGGTGATTGGCTTTGTGCCATTTGGAGGAAATGACCGGCAGTGGTCTGACAAGGCTATTTTGCCTGCGTTATATCAGCAAAGAGCAACAGAAGAAGTTGAATCGTATCAACATCGACATCTGTGACAGGAAACAACTGTGTGCTTGTAAAGTCACTGCTTGCCCTTGAAATGATTCACAAAGTCACCGTGAACCACAAAGCTGCTCTTTTTAACAGCTCAAGATTACAATCTGGGAGAAAGGTTTGCCTTGTCTGAAAGGCAAAACGTTTTTTTGCATGTTGATACTCAAGTGCATTACCGCCTCACTTGTTTTTCTCAGCTGTGGCTCTTGAAACTGACCTATATGCACGGGTTTCTCTGGTTTTCTCTGTTTACTGTAAGCTCCTGTGCCATGGACGTGCCAGAGCCCGCGTCTCTGGCCTAGAGGGAGGGGGAAGGGGAGCTCGAGCAGAGCGGTGGGGGAAGGGAGGCACTCTCATTTCCTGCGAAGAGAGAAAAAAAGACCTCGGCTCACTCTCTGACCAGTTATCTCCACATTCACAGCTCTTCGATTTATTTGGTCTGTTAGCGAGGACCTCTGATTGTCTCTCTCTGCTCAGATGGTTCTAGAAGATCCTGTTTTGGAGGCCGGTTTGCTTGCAGAGCGGTGGTTTTCTTTCTCTTCATTGGATCAGCTTCAGGACTTCCTGTTTCTTTGATTTCAGTGTAGAGATCTGGATCTTCAGCCACGCAGTTGGCTTGACATTGTTTGACCTTTCTGAAGCGAGCAGGAAAAGAGAGGCCTGGTGGATGGGAGTTTTTGACGTGACGTGGCCCTAATGTGACATAACATCCATGCGGCTCCTTACGGCCTCGCATTAAAGTAAAAAATGGAGAGCCCTCAGGCCCTGGGCTGCACGCTTAGATGTGCATTTCCCACCTCAGACATTGCATGTCTTATTTAAGTTTGCTGAAACGGATATTCTTTCTCCAGACTTATGTCATTATTGTCGTTTCTGACACATAATCACTGATTTTTCCGAACAACCTGGAATATTTTCTTGTGAGAAAGGTGAGTTTTATTCATCGCCATGGAGGATTATGTGCCATTTTGGATTTTTTTTAATGAATTTTATCGTCCTCTTGGAGGAAGTCTCTGAATATCTAAACAGTGAAAGTACATGGATTTTCTACGATGTCAAGCCGTGGCCCCGTCAATGAGAATTAGTTAAAAGACTAAGGCCTTGTTGTGGCCTGATGATCAATCCTCTCAATCGTGCTCGTCGTTCTCAACACTGGTCCTAATCCTGACCTCATGTAATGGAGAACCGTTGCGGGAGAAAGGTTTGCCTTGTCTGAAAGGCAAAACGTTTGTTTGCATGTTGATACTCAAGTGCATTACCGCTTCACTTGTTTTTCTCAGCTGTGGCTCTTGAAACTGACCTATATGCACGGGTTTCTCTGGTTTTCTCTGTTTACTGTAAGCTCCTGTGCCATGGACGTGCCAGAGCCCGTGTCTCTGGCCTAGAGGGAGGGGGAAGGGGAGCTCGAGCAGAGCGGTGGGGGAAGGGAGGCACTCTCATTTCCTGCGAAGAGAGAAAAAAAGACCTCGGCTCATTCTCTGACCAGTTATCTCCACATTCACAGCTGCCCTTCTCTTTATTTGGTCTGTTTGCGAGGACCACTGAGTGTCTCTCTGCTCAGATCGTTCTAGAAGACCCAGGTTTGGAGGCCGGTTTGCTTGCAGAGCTGTGGTTTTCTTTCTCTTCATTGGATCAGCTTCAGGACTTCCTGTTTCTTTGATTTCAGTGTAGAGATCTGGATCTTCAGCCACGCAGTTGGCTTGACATTGTTTGACCCTTCTGAAGCGTGCAGGAACAGAGAGGCCTGGTGGATGGGAGTTTTTGGCGTGACGTGGCCATAATGTGACATAACATCCATGCGGCTCCTTTCGGCCTCGCATTACAGTCAAAAATGGAGAGCCCTCAGGCCCTGGGCTACACGCTTAGATGTGAATTTCCCACCTCAGACATTGCCTGTCTTATTTAGGATATTCTTTCTCTAGGCTAATGCCTTTTATTGTCGTTTCTGACATATTGTTTATGATTTTTACGAACAACCTGGAATATTTTCTTGTGAGAAAGGTGAGTTTTATTCATTGCCACAGAAGATTATGTGCCATTTTGGATTTTTTTTAATGAATTTTATCGTCCTCTTGGAGGAAGTCTCTGAATATCTAAACAGTGAAAGTACATGGATTTTCTACGATGTCAAGCCGTGGCCCCGTCAATGAGAATTAGTTAAAAGACTAAGGCCTTGTTGTGGCCTGATGATCAATCCTCTCAATCGTGCTCGTCGTTCTCAACACTGGTCCTAATCCTGACCTCATGTAATGGAGAACCGTTGCTAATCTTTTCTGGTCTTTTCTTCTGCACAAAGGCCGGGATCAAGTCCTCGTCGTTGTAGGATTGTGTTTGTGCCGTTGTCCTCTTCTCTTTCACCTGTCATTTATGAGCTTCTTTTTGGTGCCCGTCATTTCCGTCCTACCCTTGCGGATGAGAAGGTTTTTGTTGATTGATTGACCGTGGTGGGTTTCCCCTGTATGGGGTGAATAAGGCCTCATTGTGGTCAAGATACGTGTGGTTGAGTGTAGAGTAGTCACGACTTTTTGTTGTTGTTTAATTCTTCAGCTTATCAGTTTATTTTTATTAACTGTTCTTAATTGTTAAATGTTTCTGATCAGATTAAATTACTGCTAAATGTATTGCATCTATTTCGTTATCTCTGTCTTAGATGTTACATTTGATCAGGTGATAATGTTAAATAGTAGCACTACAAGATCAAATGTTAAGTTAGAAGCATAGATCTTTATTTGCAAGTGTTGGGTCACATTCAAGAAACTTGAACAGAACACATTTTTATAGAAATCTTTCTTAAAACGGTCACATTGATCGTGTAAGTCTCAAAGCGCAAATTACGCAAATTTGTTTTGGGTTGTCTTGTCCACTGGATTTTCACTGGTTAGAAGTACCACTTCACAAAACTGTTGGATATATTAATTGCGAAATATGTTTGTATGTTGCGCAAATAGTGTTTTTTCAGCAGCACATACTAAAGGCCTTAACATGCCAAAAACAACGCAATGTAAAAATCTGAACTGCACTGACCAAAATTTTCATCTGTCCGATGAGATTTCATTATAGGTGGGGCTACTCAGTACAACGCCACAAAAACTGAACCCAAGTGACGAATAAAAATGTGATGTCGCTCGTTGCGGTAGTGGCTGGTTAAACAGCATTTACGCTGACAATAATATTAAATCATTGGAGTTCTTCGAATCTCTGAGCTGTTTTTTTTTTTTTAGTCGTTCCTATTTTGCAGCGGTATTCAAATGTATCATGTGGCGAATCGCTCCTATTGGTAGTCGCTGTTTATTTGCGTACATGTGGCAAATCGCTCCTATTGGTAGTTGCTGTTTATTTGCGTACATGTGGCGAATCGCTCCTATTGGTAGTCGCTGTTTATTTGCGTACATGTGGCAAATCGCTCCTATTGGTAGTTGCTGTTTATTTGCGTACATGTGGCGAATCGCTCCTATTGGTAGTCGCTGTTTATTTGCGTACATGTGGCAAATCGCTCCTATTGGTAGTTGCTGTTTATTTGCGTACATGTGGCGAATCGCTCCTATTGGTAGTCGCTGTTTATTTGCGTACATGTGGCAAATCGCTCCTATTGGTAGTTGCTGTTTATTTGCGTACATGTGGCGAATCGCTCCTATTGGTAGTCGCTGTTTATTTGCGTACATGTGGCAAATCGCTCCTATTGGTAGTTGCTGTTTATTTGCGTACATGTGGCGAATCGCTCCTATTGGTAGTCGCTGTTTATTTGCGTACATGTGGCAAATCGCTCCTATTGGTAGTTGCTGTTTATTTGCGTACATGTGGCGAATCGCTCCTATTGGTAGTCGCTGTTTATTTGCGTAAACTTTTTTTACTCATGTCACCAGAAATTGCCGGTTCGCTGAAAATGATTTTTCCAAATTGCATCTTTTTAAATAACAATTTAACCTTTTACGATGTTCACTCATTTTGTTGCAGAAAATTCACTTTTTTTAGCACTTTAGCACTTTGTTTAGTGACTTAGGGCACTGTTATAGTACAGGTCTTTTTTGAGGCCTACATCTATTTTTTTTTTCTGAGCGAATAACAAATTAATCGATGTGAAGGAATTTTTTTTCACACATTGTGTGAAGAGTTTTAAAATAACACAATGCTTTGTTTTAACTTCTTGTTGTTAAAAATCCTTACAAGTGAAGTCATCATTTCATTTGTTTTTGCTTAATTATAATGCAAAGACTACTACTCAGAAAAATTTGTCAGCTTGGCAGCCTAATATAAATGTTATGCTTTATAGGCCACATTTTGAATGTATCCGTGTCAGTAGCTGATGGTATTTTACTACCGATTACGCCTGAACTTGGATGAGGCCAAATCCTCTCAGACAAGAAGTAGACTAATGAGACTGAATTAAAGACACTCTCCGGTGCTCAGCAGACGTCCACTCCATAATCCCTTGTGTGAGTGGACCTGTTCACGGCGGTATTCCCCACGAACATGTTTGCTTCATTTGAAGGAGGTGCTGATCTATTACTAGACAGACAGAGAGAGTTTACACCTCACACGTCTCGATCAGACGAGTTTCCCTCGCAAGGTTAAACAGCTTAATATCATCATGTAAATTCACTCTGCAGGCCCACGATTGGTTACAGCACAGTTCAGACAAAGCAATACTCATGCAAGGGTCTCCTTGCACAAGCAAAAGTGCATGCTTCAAATGTGGAATGGAGGACGATTGCTATGAACAACAACAACATAACTCTGGAGATTAGAATACATCACCCAAGTCTTTTATCTCAGGGGGAGACCTCATGAGATTTCAGTGTCTTATTCCAGCGTTTTCTTTCTTCATTTAGTTTGGCTGTGGAGGAAATAAAGACTGAGTCTGATGCGGTTGATGGGATGGAGGTGTCCATGCCACCCAAAGGTATTTTTTCTTTGATTCTAATGTGACTCTTTTGCTTTAGCTTCTCAGTTCATAGTTCTTACATAACAGACTCCAAAAATAGGTTCAGATTGTGAGAGTACAGTTCTTCAGCTGAAATGAATAAAAAGCAAGTCAATCTGAGCCACATCAAATGTGGCATGCAACCTAATTTTCTCTTTCATTATGCTGACTGATTGCTGCTATCTGGTGCTTCGTGCTAGTAGGATAGTCAGACGTTTGATACGGCATCTTTTGTTTTATTTTTGAAGATGTGCATAAAAGGCAACCCTCTTTGTGCATGTGGAGGTCAATGCTTTGAAAGGTCACAATCACAGGCCCAGCTGGGTGAGGTGTTGTATTATCCACGTGGCTTTGCATAATAAAGCAGCTGTGGTTTTTTTCATCAGCGGTCCCTGATCTAGGATCAGCGGAGCAGGCACCGGCTGCGCCGAAGAGGAAAGCACCCAGTCCTCCACATTCCTCAAACGGACACTCTCCCTCGGACACGTCACCCAGTCCCACAAAGAAGAAGAAGAAACCGGGATTAGTCAACAATAAAGACCAAGTATGTTCCCTCCTAGGCTTCCCTCTCATCTCGATGCCCTTTTGTTGAATTTTAATTGGTTTGAGCTGAGAATTCTTGCTCAAATGAATTTAAAAACATTTGTAGTATCCAAAACAGACCTTTGGTTTTTAAGTCAAACTCTCGTCTTGTCTCTTCCTGTGTCCTTTTACATTTTCTTGCACTTTTCTATTCAAACGGCCAATCGGAATAATCAGGATTGATTGTGGCTTGTAAATGTGTGTTTGATTTTAATTTCCATTCAGTCTGCAGTTTTTAATGATAAAACACTGAGCACTGAAAGGGCCGAATGCTTTTACTGATTTGCATGAACAAAGTCGACCCCTTGTGGGGATTTCTGTCCTGTAAGCTACAGGGTGGCCTCAAAAAGCATTTGGACACCACAGGCATATTTCAAGGATATAGTTCACCCCAAAACAAAAATTCCGTCATTTACTCACCCCGATGTTGTTCTAACTTCTAAATATTGTTTTCTTCAGTGGAACACATTTTTGTCCAATGAAAGTGAATGGGTTCCAAACAACATTGGACAAAATATGGACAAAAAGACATTTCTTTCTGTTCCACATAAGTAATAACGTCATAAAGGTTGGGAAAGAGATGAGGGTCAATAAATGAACACAGAATTTTAATTTTGGGGGGAACGATCCCTTTGTATTATTTTACTATCTAATGCAATGACATAAATTCATCAAAGTAAAATATTTAATATTAAATCATAAAATAAATGTAACATACCGTTCAAAAGTTTGGGGTTCAATAAGATCTTTTGATGTTTTTGAAAAAAAAAAGTCTCTTATCCTCACCAAGGTTAAATTTTTTTTGTGGAAACAGACATTTTTTTCTATTATTTGATGAATGTAAAGATCAAAAGAGCAGTATTTATTTGGAATAGAAATATATAGAAATGGAACATAATGTGACATTATAAATGTATTTACTTTTGATCAATTTAATGTATCACTGCTAAGTAAAAGTAGTAATTAAATTTTTTTTTTTTTTTTTTAATCTTACTGACCCCAAACTTTTGAACTGTAGTGTGTATATACTTGCACCTGTGGTTAACCCAGATGGTTAATGTCACTGCAAAAATAGCTGAAAGGGAAGTTAGTTCTGAGAAAAGCTGTTGCTTTCGTTACTAAACATTTGTTTGCAGATGACACATTTTTAAAAGGTTAAGCACGTGTCCAAATGCTTCTTTATGGGCCCAATGTATGTTCACTTTATTACAGCTAAAAATCAAGTGCACTGATTTTATTGAATGCTGTGCTGTCTTTGTGGTGGTGTATTGCAATGCATATGAACAATGTTTCATGAAAGATGCCAAGTGTGGATTTTCTTATTGATCTTATTTAAAAAACACTAAGCACATTTATATTAATTGATTTCTTTTGATACCTCAAAGATATTGAAAACTAATTAGTAGCTGTCAATTTTAAAAATCTATTTCCATTAAGTCACAACTTGGTCTGAAGTATATTTTGCCCCTGTCTCTTGATCCTGCTAATCTGTATTTGGCATCTGCTGGTAATTTAGGATTTCGTTCAAATCCTGGCGAAACACACTTGATCACAGACACCACGTGTTTCTCAGATCACACATGGGTCATGATGTGTGTTTACGAAAATGTGAAATGAAATCCTACAGTGTCTTCCCAGTGTGCCGCTTTTGACCCAGTGGTCATGTGACTGCTTAACTGTCCGTGCTTGATTTATTGCAGTGCCTTGCTACGTTTCCCCTGCGAGTGTTGTGGCTTGTGATTTGACCCCTTGCCCTGTCTCTCTTGCCTGCATTTCAGTGTGAGCTAAGACATGGGCCCTTTTACTATGTCAAGCAGCCCGCACTCACCACAGACCCTGGTTATGTTGTACCGCAGGACGGGCGGAATGACTTCTACTGCTGGGTGTGTCACCGCGAGGGCCAGGTGCTCTGCTGTGAGCTCTGCCCGCGCGTCTACCACGCCAAGTGCCTCAAACTGGCCGCAGAGCCTGAGGGCGACTGGTTCTGTCCAGAGTGCGAGGTACTGAGGACTGTGTACGTCAACTGTTATGTCATGGGACTGTCCTTCTGGCAGTTTAAATATGTTCAGAACATGAAGCGCTGCTAGCAATAAATACTGGCCATAACCAAGCAAATGGAAACTTAAGATCTGTTCCAACCTAGTGAGCAGACAGACATTTTAAGGGACAGGCACAGTTCTGATGTGAAGATTGTTTCAAAAAGTAGGCAAAATTAATCTGTCTCTTCACCTAAAAATTTAAATAGTTATTTACTCACTCTCATGTAATTCCAAAACTGTAGCCTATAGTCTTGTTAATGTTAACTAAAACTATCTTTTTTTGTGTTAATTTAAATACAGCTGAAATAAAATAGAATATAAATACTGAATGAAAAACTTAAATGTTGCCTTAACAACTAACTGAAAACAAGTGGAAAGTACTTAAATTACTAAAACATAAATAAAAATCATAAAAACTATATAGAAATATAAAAAAACGAGAAATAAAACAAGTGGAGAGTACAAAATTTACTAAAACCTAAATAAAAATAAATAAAAGCTATATAGAAATATAAAACCCCTAAAGACTAATACAAATGACAAAAGCACATAACAAAAAAATATTAAAACTTAAACTAAAATCAATTAAATTATTAATTTAAAAAATGAACAAAAATAATGAATACTACAAAATTATGTAAATAGTACTAAAATAACACTTACTGACATGACTTTCTGCTGTGGAACATAAAAGATATCTTGAGAATTGTCTAATATAATGGAAGCGGGCTCTAATGTTTTTTGATTCCCAACATTCTTCAAAATATCTTCTTTTGTCTTCCCGAAGTGTAAACTATCCCTTTAAAGATCATTTTGCCCAAAATATCGCAGTACCTTGGAGAATCCTTGGATGTTTTTTTTTTATCCAAAATAGCAGACGAGTTACAATAAATGTTGATTATAAATAAACAGCGAGCTAAGACACCCTTTTACTATGTCAAGCAGCCCGCACTCACCACAGACCCTGTTGATGTTATACCGCAGGACGGGCGGAATGACTTCTACTGCTGGGTGTGTCACCGCGAGGGCCAGGTGCTCTGCTGTGAGCTCTGCCTGCCCGTCTACCACGCCAAGTGCCTCAAACTGGCCGCAGAGCCTGAGGGCGACTGGTTCTGTCCAGAGTGCGAGGTACTGAGGACTGTGTACGTCAACTGTTATGTCATGGGACTGTCCTTCTGGCAGTTTAAATATGTTCAGAACATGAAGCGCTGCTAGCAATAAATACTGGCCATAACCAAGCAAATGGAAACTTAAGATCTGTTCCAACCTAGTGAGCAGACAGACATTTTAAGGGACAGGCACAGTTCTGATGTGAAGATTGTTTCAAAAAGTAGGCAAAATTAATCTGTCTCTTCACCTAAAAATTTAAATAGTTATTTACTCACTCTCATGTAATTCCAAAACTGTAGCCTATAGTCTTGTTAATGTTAACTAAAACTATCTTTTTTTGTGTTAATTTAAATACAGCTGAAATAAAATAGAATATAAATACTGAATGAAAAACTTAAATGTTGCCTTAACAACTAACTGAAAACAAGTGGAAAGTACTTAAATTACTAAAACATAAATAAAAATCATAAAAACTATATAGAAATATAAAAAAACGAGAAATAAAACAAGTGGAGAGTACAAAATTTACTAAAACCTAAATAAAAATAAATAAAAGCTATATAGAAATATAAAACCCCTAAAGACTAATACAAATGACAAAAGCACATAACAAAAAAATATTAAAACTTAAACTAAAATCAATTAAATTATTAATTTAAAAAATGAACAAAAATAATGAATACTACAAAATTATGTAAATAGTACTAAAATAACACTTACTGACATGACTTTCTGCTGTGGAACATAAAAGATATCTTGAGAATTGTCTAATATAATGGAAGCGGGCTCTAATGTTTTTTGATTCCCAACATTCTTCAAAATATCTTCTTTTGTCTTCCCGAAGTGTAAACTATCCCTTTAAAGATCATTTTGCCCAAAATATCGCAGTACCTTGGAGAATCCTTGGATGTTTTTTTTTTATCCAAAATAGCAGACGAGTTACAATAAATGTTGATTATAAATAAACAGCGGTTTTCAGACCGTACTAGTGTTGATTAAAAATCGTTTACCGGTATAATTAAATTGGCTATTTTGACCAGTATTTGAGCATATTAATTATATATTTTTATGCTTATCGTGTTATCGCGTATCAGTATTGTGTTGTTAGCTTAGCGACATGCTAACCTTAAACTCTATATATGCTGCCTTCAAAATTCGATCAGAAGAAGGTACCTCCGGAGACAGGAAGTGAAGCAGAATTTGTATTCGGACGTGCCTTGATGCCTTCCTGCCTTGGAATGCTGCCTCCGAAGGCAGCATTTTAGAGCTTTCAGATGCAGCCAGAGAATGGGAATGTACGTCACTGTGTGTTGCATTCTGGGTAGTCGCCACCATGTTTTAGGACACGCTAAGTAGCGTACAATGACAACAAATACAAATCACCAGAGGAAAAAATGACTGCATTAATATTTTTAAGAGCTGCTTGTTCTTGCTTAGAATAAATGTACTAATATTTGAATCCATTTCGTTCATTCGAGCACTCAGTCGTGTGGCTAGGACAGGACACATAAACCACATGATACACACTCACAGAAATCTTACGGCCGCCTTCTGTCGTACCACACACATGACCAAACTGATTTCACTTTTGCAGTTTTTAATAACTAGGTCAATGCATTTTACACCCCTAGAAATAATTTATTTTAATACATTTTATTATATTAAGTTAAATAGACAGTAACTGAATCAACAGTCACTTTGAGAATGTTTGAGAGCACATGAATGATTATGAACCGTATGCATGTGAATTATGAATATAGTAGTCATTTCACTCTCTACTTCAGAAAATAACGGTGGCTGAGTGCATAGAGACTCAGAGTAAAGCTATGACCATGCTGAACCTGGAACAGCTGTCCTACCTGCTGAAGTTCGCTTTGCAGAAAATGAAACAGCCAGGGGTGAGTCAACTATACCTCATTATACCCTCACAATTTATTTAATCACTCCATAGTCACAATTATTGAAAATGCTTGTGGTAACTCTTTTATATGAAGACAGATTAAAAAATTAACCGGGCAAAATAATATTAAAACAAGGCCAATTGAATTGAAGATTAATGATACAATTTTACAGAGCCTAATTGATGTGGCACAGGCCTTTAATCACTATTTTATTGAATCGGTGGATAAAATTGCTCAAAGTTTCACAGTGCAACAACCTTTTTAACGAACAAATAATGCTAGCGAGACAGCTTTAGTATTAAGACCAGTAACTAAGTTAGATGTTGAAAAGGTAGTCATGTCTCTTAAGTCCTCAAGGGCTAAAGATATCTATGGTATAGACAGCTTTTATTGAAACAAATGAGTTGCTCAATAGTAACCACCCTAACATATATTATTAATAGTTCATCAG